ATACGACCGACAGGGAATTGAAGACCGGCCTTAGAAGAACGAGTTTGAGACTTGGAGCCAGCAGCAGACTTTCCACCAGATTTTCCACCAGACATTTTAAAGTTGTAAGTTAACAAGTATTGAAAAAAGGCAGAAAAAAAGATCAAGACCGCCCTTTATATATGCAAAATTGGGACCCCTCCTTTTTTCAAATTCCGCGTTTTTTTTTTTCACTTGAATTTTAAAAAGATGACAAACACCATCCTTATAAAAAACGACAGGGCAAAAAAAAGATTTTTTGTTCAATTTTTTTTTCCTTTACAGATGACTTCTTTGACCTCAAATTCCTTTGAAAAACGCGTTTGTTTCGCGAAACAAGTATAAGTCTTTATTGTTTTCAAAGGCAATCTGAGGATGGCCCTGTCATAGACCTAAAAATTTCCTTTTCGGAAAACCGAGTCACGATTCTGTTTTTCTATATAAAACCAGTTGAATTTTGAGAACCTTTTTTCCAATTTTTCATAATTATTATTAAACATGGCTGCTGAAACCGCTACTAAGGAAACCAAGAAGAATGTCCCCAAGGACAACAAGAAGAAGAGACTTTCTCGTCGTGAAACTTATTCCTCTTACATCTACAAGGTCTTGAAGCAAGTCCACCCCGATACTGGTATCTCCAACAAGGCCATGTCCATCTTGAACTCCTTCGTCAACGATATCTTTGAACGTATTGCTACTGAAGCCTCCAAGTTGGCTGCCTACAACAAGCGTTCCACCATCTCTTCTCGTGAAATTCAAACCGCTGTTCGTCTCATCCTTCCTGGTGAACTCGCCAAGCACGCCGTCTCTGAAGGTACCAAGGCTGTCACCAAGTACACCAGTTCCAAATAAATAAGATGTAATAGTACATTACAATCCAAAAAACAAACAAGTTTTATTACCCCATTTTCGTTTTCTTGTACAGTTTCATTTTACATTTTATATATAACATTTTGTAAACAATTCAAATAAACTATTTGTCAAAAATCAACTTTTATTTTCTCTTTTTTTCTATTTCGTTTTTTGGTACAGAAAAAATATCTGCATTTTCAGAGTTGGTAGCGAAATCACTCATATCATTAAAGAAGGCTGTCAAATCATTCTGTAAACTAGCTTTGTACTGTTCCTGTCTCTTTCGTTCCTCTTCCTTGGCTCGTCTAAGCTCCTCTTCTCGTCTTTTCTTTTCAGCTTCAATTGCAGGTGAATACTGTGAAGCATAGGATGATTTCTCCCAGTAAGCTTTGAAACCTTCGATTGAATTGACAGGAATGGCGTACTCGCTTTGTCCGTATACGGGTATAAAACTATCCGAATTTCCAAATGTTGCTTGCACGTACCGCCCATCGATCACTAGACCATAATATCCAATGTTATCCATTGCAATCATTGCAGACTATCACATATAAAAGAGGAAAGTTGTATAATAATAAAACAATCATTAGATGTGTTTCAATTATATAGGCTGCTTTTTTTGGTTGGCGTTACTTTGATATCAGTAAATTCGATAAATGCAAAGGAGCATGATAGCTTTGTCAACTTGTCTCTAATAAGCAATGTGCGATAGAGCCCTTGAAATGATGATATAGCCTTGAAGATGGATTCTTCTGTAGTAAGATGATCCAGTCCTCTCAGTAAGATGAGATGACTGGGCACAAGTGATACGTCCTTTGTTCCATCGTTAATTTCTAGTGTATCCGTACTATAAGTCCGTGTCTCGGTTGCTGCCCCTATGTGTATATCCAGTCAAAAGCATTAATCAATTGCTCAAACGCTTCAATGGAAATAAATGTGTGTTTACGAATATTTGATTGCTTGCATTCGACGCACACTCGGCGATGGACATCATTAAACTTTCCACACTGGCATATAAAGTTAAAAAAGTGAATGAATGGTAATCATTACCTACAGTTGCACAACGCCATTCTTCCTTTTCTAATGACCCGTTGTTCTTATGAGAGTAGTCCACACGAACACGGAAATCCTTCATATGGAAGGTTCGGTGCTTTTCTACAAACTGCATGGCATGCCCCACACTGGTGAATCGAACAAATGCAAACTTTCTTGATTCGCCTGTTTCACGAGACTTGATGAGCGACACTTCTTCAATGCAAGCGTTCATTTCACCAAGTCTCTTGGCAATCTTTTTTAAAATGTATGAGTGAAAACAAAAAAAAAAACAAAAAAAAGATTGCAGCAGAATTACTTACATCCTCTTCTGTGGCATTATCAGGTAAACCTCTCAAGACGACGTTGATGTTAGGACCTGCTGGTTTTTCATCTGATTGCTTTCTTTCAAAATATCTCTTGTCCTCAAATGAACGACGGTCGTCCTTTCTTCTCCTACGTTCTTCATATCGTTTCTATCGACAAAGTTGGCTTTATGTGATCAATAATAGTATTTTCTTTACGTTATCCTGGTCACTTTCACCCCTGTGATGTCTACTGGGTGATCGTCTATGAGGACTAGGTGACCTATCTCCACTGTGTCTTCTTGACTGAGGACTGCGTGACCTTCTTCTTTCTGGACTACGAGATCTCCTTGAATGTGGGCTATGTTGTCTCTTTTTAGAACGATCGTATTCTCGAGAATCAGGCATTGATAATTTAAAGAAAGAAAAAGAAAAAAATTTTGCCCCCTCCCTTCTTTTTTTTTCTTTTTCTTTCTTTATAATAAACTAGTTTTCTTTATGAGCCAATTGTTGACAAATACTATTGAACCTTTACTGTTAAAGATTGAGAGTTGGATCATTGCCATAGCTGCAGATGTTCCCTTGGAAACAGATTGGGCACAATCGTCTTATGGATCTTGGTAGCATTATTTATTGATTTCTTGTACGACCTGCTTGCTTAACTTTTTTTTAAAAAAGGTATAATAATCCTCGACAACATGGATTAGAATTATTCTTTCTAGCAACAATTTATGCAACAGCAACAATCATCTTCTTTCGTCGTTTGCTACGACCAGGAAGCAGACATTATAAGCTGATTACAGAATTTGAACCACCTCAAAAAGCATCCATAACTGAAAAAGGAATGACGTTGGCATTAGCGTCATCACTAACATTAACCCTCATTCACAAAATCATTCGTAATCGAGTATGGTTTATGCTACAACCTTGTCATATGAGTGGATTTTTGCTTGTACTTTCACTTTTATACCCAAACAAGCGATCGCCACTTCCTCACATTCTCTTTAATATTTATCTTCATCTTCAGTGGGGTGCATTGGCTGCACTTGCATTTCCAGATCTAAGGGAACATTACCTGATTGGAGAGACATTTAACTTCTTTGCAGGTAAAAAAACATGTAAAAGTTACAATAGTTAAATTTGTAATATGACTATAGAACATGCACTCTTGTTGATTGTTCCTATTTATATGATCTATAGTCGCCGATATGTTGTATTACCTAAATCAAAGGAGATCTTGTGCTTGTCATTCTTCACTTACTGTTTCTTCCATACACCTGTTCTTCATGCGCTCTCCTTAACCTCTGGATTTAATCTCAACTACATGTGGACACCTCCTCCAAGTAAATAGATATGGCTTATAAAAAGATTTATTTACTAACCAAGTTTAAAGTTAAAATCCTGTTGGACCTTGGACCTTCCTATCGTATTGTCATGTATGGTGTTGCCTTCATCTTCAAGTTTATCACCCGATTCATTTGTGTAGAGACACTATTGACAGTCATGCCCCGTAAACGTCTGGAAGGACAAAAGATGCATTATAAAAAATCAAGAAAGGTCGACTAAATATCACGCAATGTGCCAATAAAACGATTCTAGAATCAGTTAAAAAAATCACGCATTATTGCGCATACACACGTTTGCCCCTTTTTTTTCATAGTCGCACATCCACAACGTGGATCTGAGTTTTATATAGGAGGACCTGCTGCTTAAGACAAAGGACATTGGTCAAGTTGTTCTATTTTATCGTACGAACACACTGATTTATTGAGGATCAGCCTTGTTGTACACATCACAGCGTCACATAGTTTCTTTATATCCTTAGGCTCTTGTTACACATCATGCAATCATTTTTCTGTCACTCATGAAATTGCTCCGAGACGATGGAGAGACATCTCGATGACATCGATTTTCGGAGATTCAATTACTGGTTTTCTGTTTTTCTCTGTGTCAGCCTACAGTCTATTTCTTGATCATAGTTGCTTTAGAATAATTATTAAAGATGGTAAGATCTATTGTCCATTGACAGCATTTAATAACTCTTTTTAGACAACCGCCGCTCGCCCCACTTTCGACCCTGCTAGAGGAAACGACAACAAAGCACCTTCCTTCCAATACGGTGCTCGTGATCTCGCATCTCATACTAAACTAAAATTCAGACAGCCTGGTCAAGGTACAACTGATGAGATCGGTAGCAGAGAAGAATTATTAGCAGAATTAAGAGAAGCAGAAAGAAAATACTTTGAAGAAAAAGAAGGAAAGGCATCAAGCAATCGATTGATTAAACAAGATGGTGAAAATAATAATAATGAAGAAAAGCAAAAACTTCTTGCAGAAGCAGAAAGACTGGCAAAATTGGATAAAGAAGATACGGATGAAGAAAGCGAGAATGAGTCGAGGTAATAAAATAATCATCTTTTTGTTATAAATACCAAGCAATGGTTAGTAGTGACGACGATGACGACGACGACGATGATGATGATGATGATAATGCAGCAGAACTATTAGCAACACTGCAACGTATTCGTAAAGAAAGAGCAGAAGAAAAAGAACGACAGGAAAGGGAGGCTCGGGAAGAAGAGGAAGCCCGAAGACAGGAAGAGGCACTACAAGGTAACCCACTCTTACACATTGGAGAGCAAAAACGTGACTTTAGTGTCAAAAGAAGGTAACCTAAAAAAAAATACCAAGGATCTGGACGCTTGGCGTGGCGACTTGGTCCCAAGCTTGCCCATACTAACTCTATTTCTTTTTTTTATTTGATAGATGGGATGATGATGTTATATTCAAGAATCAAGCAAGAGGAGTGGATGATCAACCCAAAAAAAGATTCATTAACGACATGCTTCGTTCTGATTTTCATAAAAAGTTTCTTCATAAATATATTCATTAAACCATTATTATTGTTGGCATTGTAGTACCAACATACTATAACCGTACTGCGGCTACAAATAAAAAAATTTTTATTCCTACTGCGGCCAAGATTAACTCAAGACCTTGTGTAATTTTGAATTTGGGTATAAATAGAGAGATATTTTAACGTCAATTGTCGATCTCTCTCCACTATTTCATTATGAAAGATAATCAACAAGATTGCTCTTTATCCATTGAGCTTTTACCTGAATTTGGTTGGTCCATTAAAGATACTCCTGCATATGGGCCTGGCTCTGTATTTCAAGGTATTATAACTTGATTTCATTGTACTCATTTTTACTAACAATGAAATAGGCCATGTCAAATTACAACTTGTAAAAGATACTCCTATTGAAAACATCCGACTTGCTTTCTATGCTATCGAACGCGTTCCTCCCTACGACATCCACTTTGGAGCAGTTCGCGCTATTAAAAACACATTATTCAGTATTCAGTACACACTCTGGGATCACAACAAGGACAGAATACTCAACCTCGAGGAAGACCGAAGCACGAGCTTCCCATTCACAATTCAAATGCCCATGGTTCAATTTCCTCCTACCTTCAATCACACCGTCTATCAATGCAACTTTCAACTTATGGCTGTTGTCAACACCTCTTCAGGCATGATTAAGCATGAACAGCCCGTGATCTGCATGCCTTTTGTCGAGACACGTCTTCTCAAGACCCCCTTAATGTTGTCTGCGGGTAAATCTAATTTAACAGCTCAGCTTAAAATGACGGCGACCGACTTCGTTCCGGGTGATCTCATACCCTTAACACTCCACGTGGGAAGCCTTTCCCCAAATAAAAAGACACAATACGTCACTGTACAACTGAAGCTAATTCAAAGCGTGAATATTAAAGTGTTTGAAGACATGCCATGTACAGACAGCATCATCGCATCAGCCTCACATAAACTACTATTGATCCCTACACCTTCCGGATCCTTCTGCGACGGCGAGCTTACTCTTCAGCTCCCACCTGATTTAACTCCCTCTTGTGAATATGGCAAAATAGCGAATGTCACATATCGATTACAAGTGTCTGTGGAGCAAAAAGGCCCGATGGGCGGCATATGGAACTATTTTGCAAACTTTGAGGATATTCCAGTGATTATTGGTACCCTAGGTTACGGTATCCGAGTTTCGGATGAGTTCACAACATACGACCAATATCAGCTTAATGGAGATGGCCGATTGGTGGATATACCTGTACCAAAATTTATGAAGTCTATTGAATATGAAGATGCTTTACCACTTTATGATTCCACTCGTTTACCAGATTATGATGCAGCCTGTACACCTCTTATGATATGCTAATTCTATGTTTCTCACTCTCATTCTATCTTCCATTATCTCTCTTTTGCATTATCATTGTCATTACTTTATTTATTTCTATCATCTGTACATAACTTCATGATTTTTATTTATTTATAGATTACAATAAAACCTAAATTGGCTCAATCATACAATTCCGATTTTTTGATCATCCTTCGATCTGTGATTTATTTGTTACCAGAACCACGTTTCATCCATAAATAACAGCATGCTTTGCCTATGTGGATTTTCAATTGTACATGAGCTGCTATCACGTGTAGTTCACCCATTCTACTGTGTTCTACATGAAAAAATTTTCAGAACCTGAGGTTACACTTGGCATTCGCTTGGGCCAAGAACTGGACTCTTTTCTATAAGAAATTTATTTTTTACTTGAATGCAGAATAGTTATTCATCTGATATAAACAATAGCCAAAACAATAATTAATAATATAGGTTGCATGTAACTGTACTTTAATTGCTACACACGTTATAATGTAAAAAAGAGGTGTAAATCGCGTGGTGAGCCCTGTGGCATGGGTTTGTCGTCCTGACTGCAATCTGTCTCGACCAAGTCTTCTTTTTCTTGAATACAAACAAGAATGATCAAGTAATTCAGCCTTTGTGTTGAGCAGTCAGAAGCTCTACAAGTTTGCAAACTTTTTAGCGAAGTAGCACGAACAGCGGAGAAGAACGGCGAATATTGTCAAAGCTTCTATCCGTTTAGGTTAAAGAAAAGAACAGACGTCGACATGAGTTCTTCATTAGAGAAGTCAGGAAGATACTAAATACACATTTATTACTGCGATGTATATATGTATATATATTTATATATAAATGCTTTTCCGTATTTTATTTTACAATTGCACAGCAATCTTACAGAAGGCATTTATGAAGGATTAGACCGGATTTTGTTGAGATCCATATTCAGGTGACTTTTTTACCACAACAGAAACCCGCTCTTCTTGTGATTCAGGTAATGTGTCAGTTCTTTCCTCCGAACAGTCCCTTTGGCTTATCCACCGTTGAGGAATCGACCGAATCCCTTTACTCAACTGATGCCACCACTCACGTACGCCCAGACGCTGTACAGAGAGTAAAACGGCAGATACAAGACCAGTGGCGAATCCAATACCATCATTTGAATAAGCGACAAGTGCACCTGCAGTCAAGAGCATGAGAGTGAAGTTTTCTCGCTTACGAGTATCATCTGTTTCATGATCATTAATACTTCTTGCTGAGCATCCTAATTCGACACCCGAGATAAACATCATGACTGCTAATATAGAATTTGGAAATAGTTGTAGCAAGCCAACAACAGAGCTACCAAAGAGGATACCAAGAATCAACTTACATAGTCCAAGCAGGATGACAGAAACCTCAGATCTTGCTCCAAAACGGTACTGACCGGCTAGCCCACCCGACCCATGGCAGACAGGCATAGCACCAAACCAACACCCAATCAGATTCATCAATCCTACACTCATAGCCACACCGGATGTCGATGTTTGGTTATCAGGAAATAGGTCATGAATAAGTGCACACAGGGCAATGACCGAGTTTAATGCAGTCAAGGGTAATTGACCCAGACCAGCATTCAGAAAGCCATCTTTGAACTCGGTAGGTGAAGGAACAATGACCATATCGGGATAATGACCACCCATCACAGATGGATGCGGCACTTGTGCATTTTCTACAAACATCAGAATAAGCGCAAACAGCAATCCGATCAAAAAGAGGATTAGAGCAGAAGGAACTCGAGTGCGATAACATAGGACGACAAACATAAACGAAAGTAGTACCCAGGTGTTATTGTCTGCCCAGTTACTAGCCGTGATCTTCCATTGAAGCTTTGCTGCGAGATTATGCGCTTTGATGATCAATTGAACAGCCGTACCCAGTTGCAGTCCTAATCAGATCAGATATAGATAGTTCTAGCGTTAGATGGCGCCATAACATATACGTCATCTGACTACCTTTTATAACGGCTGTCGGCGTAAATGAACCAACCAAGTGGATCGTGCGAGTGATGCCAAAGAAAAAGATAAAAGCAGCAACGCCTTTTATTTTACAAGGAAAAAAAATCGCTGTGATTAAATAAAACTATGCAATTCTCTTTTTTTTTTGACTTACTTAGGCCAGCTGCCATGTTTTCTCTAATTGACATGTTTCTTGTTAATACCACAGCTGCAATGGCTTTTTTTATATTTAAAATGTCAATATAAGCTACTCTTAAAACCGACTGGCTCTTACCTTTCATCGGTTGGACGCAGACAGGAACCTGAAAGAGTAAACCGGATGCGATGTTCCATATTCCAGTAAACCATAGAGTACTTGTTAAATCAATTTGACCTGCTACAGCTAATGAAATCATAATCGGCAAAAGCGTGCCTAGGTCACCGAGACTTCCGGAAACCTAACCCCCTGTTACTAAGGAGCGTTAAATGATTTATGCTTTACAAACCTCGTGTAGAGTGAAATTCTTTTTGAATCTTTGGGTATATTCTCTTATGTTGATCATGAAATCCTTTTTGTCTTTTTGCCTTTTTGCCAAAAAAAATAAAATAAGAAAAGAAAAGGAGCAATGAGATGCATGTTTTAAAAACAATTGAGTAACTCGAGATTTTACAGATTTAAGTCACTGTGTTGCACAGAGCAAAAAAAAAACTCTCCAGCTTTTGTAAAGCATAGAAATGTTATTATTGCTAATAGTGTAATATTCAAGCAACATGGATGTTGAATTATCAACTTGTATTATCAAGCATTAATCAGCTTTATAGCAAAATAATCACGCTTTAATTTCGAATATTTTGTATTAAGCATTGTATTTAATGTTTTTGAAATCAGTCCATACTTTCTTTAAAATGCTATCAAGCTCGTCTCTTTAGAGGATCTTTAAACCATAGATTTATCTTCTTTGTAAGTTCTTTACTATATATACTATTTTTTCTTAATATTGTGCAAATTCAAGCAATAGCTCTTATATCAAGCTATTCAAGCTATTAATAAGTTAACCACGTACACTTCTAATATAATAGCTATCCCTCATATACTTTTCTTTCTTCACAGTTTCTTATCGTCTTTGTCATGACATTATTGATAAATTATTATATAAAATACGTATTTTTTTTGTTGTCGATAATTTTGTTTGTTAATTTTACTATTAGTAGAAGATGGTTTTAATCGAAAATTTATATATTGGTTAGATCTCACCTTATCACATCGTTGCTGGAGTGGAAAAAGAGAAGATAAGAAGCAGATCTACTTTTGAAAGAATAAAACCAGTGATCAGCCAATAAAATCACAAAATATCAGTGTACATTATGGAAGTTCAAAGCTTATTAAGCAAGAGCAAGAGGCATGGTAGTCGATGTATCTGGAGACATTCAATGATATGTGTGACCAGGAAAGTAAACAATTACTTTTAAACTGACGATAAAAAGTAGATGTTGTGAATTGAAACATTCGAACTCAATACTCAGAGGCGCAGTCGAAAGAATTTTACAACAACGCCATGTTTACGTGGATCAAAATTAAAAAATAACACTCATAATACAGCTCGTCGACCATCGTCCTTTGGTATATAAGAATGCACATATAAAAAAGAAAAACTATGAGTCATTAGAGCCATGCATTTCGAATGACTCAAGAGCCCGCAGCACATAAATGTGGTATTACCCCTGAAGCGTCATAGAGTATCACCTTGAGATGACAATTAATACAGTAATAGAGTGTCAAGTTTGGTCAGTACATATACTTTGAGTTTCTTTATTATTACAAAAATGCCTTATTCTTATATTGAAACGGTTATGCGATAAGTACATGACAAGCACCTTGATTTTTGTCTGGACTTTATATATATATACATGTCTTTTCCACGGATCAGAGTAGTGCAGAACAAAAGCCTCTCCCCCATGGAGCAACGTGAGTACGGTAACACAAACTTTCAGCCAATGGGTTTTTCTTGACGTTCTAGGTTTGATTTGTAAGCCCTATTTGGGATGCCAATTCATGCCAAGGAGTACAAACCTTGGCCTGTACTGACAGACACGGTATTAGGACACATATAGATGACTTGAGAGGTCATAAAAATAAAAGCATGGACCAAGTTGATGGCAGCAGTACAGACAACCAGTCTATGCTTATTGTCATTCTCATACAATTAAACTTTGCGCCAAGTGCCTAGCATACGTAATCCAAGATTCTCAATTTTCCGCTCAGATTCTGCATATATAAAAGACGGACGACTTTCCTTTTTCTTCACAAACACAAATCAAGCAGATCAAATATGCTAGAAATCAATTTATTACCAGAATTTGGTTGGTCTATTAAGAATGAACCAGTCTATGGTCCTGGCTCTGTCTTTCAAGGTAGATATCAAATGACACCTGTGTGTTATTTTTGTTTTATTCATTATTATCACTAGGTTTTGTGAAAATCAGGTTATCTGAAGAAGAACTACAACAATCTCAAAGGCTACGTGTCATCTTTCATGCAACTGAGATGAGCTTTAGTTCTGCCGAGATCATGCCAATGCATCGAAACCAATTGTTTGGATCACAAAAAGTGCTGTGGAGAAGACAAGACACTGATAGTAGCCAAAAGAAACTAGAACCAGATACAGAAGCAATATTCCCTTTTATTATTGAGCTTCCTATGATCCAGTTTCCTCCATCTTCTCAAACTGTATCCAGTGACAAAATGTTTTCTTATCAGTCTGATTTTGTACTCTCAGCCTTCTTAGATCCCACTAATGGTAAAGAACCGATCATGAAATCGCATAAGTCTGTACTCTACATGCCTTTTGTGGAAACCATGTTATTCAAGAAACCTGTGATCATCTCACCTAAATCAAGTCAAGGTAGTAGTAATGAATCCGATGTCACTGTCAGCATGTCCGCCATGGACTATCTACCTGGAGACGCGATCCAGGCCAAGATGTTGCTAAAAAACGCGGCCAAGTTACAAGCTGAGTCTGCATCAGTAAAGTTATACCAAATACAAACATGGAAAAAGATTCCAGATATGATCAAGAAAGGAAGAGTACCCAACACAGAAAGAAAATACAAGCAACTCATAGCATCCAACACCATCAAGCTTTCTGATTGCAAAGATCAAGGTCAGTCATCGAGCAAATCCATATCATCTACGTTTGACATCAACCTGCCGATACCTGCAGAAACAGTCCCTTCATTTTCTTACAGTCCGATATTTTCCATTGGATATCAGTTACAGATCAACATTAAACAAAAAAAGATATGGTCAGCCTTGCTAGAATTACCAGATATTCCGATAACAATCGGTACTTTGGGTTATGGTATTCGATCCTCACAAGAACTAAAAGCATACTCTGCATTCAAAAGTGTCTTTGATCAAGAACAAGATAATACTGACACATTACCAGTTCCACGATACCTGAAAGTAGTAGAATATGAGGACTGCCTGCCTCCTTATGAAGATCAACGATTACCGCTATATGAGCACGTGATGACTGATACTGTCTCCTAAGCTGATGACTCATTAAAAGCTTTTTGAGGCTTGTGTAAATACATTATATGCATGTGGATATGTTGAAACAAGAATAGCATTTCCCCAAAAAAGAGATGTGAATATGATATAATTTATGCCATTTATTTATTTATTTATTTTTACTATTTGCAATAAAAGATTACGGTCATTGGGATACTTTGTTATTATTGTTTTTTGTTGCTTTTTACATTGGGAGCATTGGGAACGTTGAATAATGTCTTGAGTTCATGGTCAGTGAACCCGGTTCCGGCTGAATCAGGGAACAGTTCTCTCAGCATTCTAGGGAAGACACGGTTATTTTGATCAGGTTCACCGCGAATATATTTGAAGCCCCAGTTGGTCAAGGTAATAGGTGTCATTTCCTTTGTGAGTATACGATCTATAAAAGGCAATAATATTTTAATTAAAAAGCACTAGAGTAGCGAAGCATATAAACCTACCATTACGTAACAAGTTAACAGCATCACTCAAGATGGCTCTTCCCATTGTATAAGGCAAACGAAGACCAATAGGCTTGGAGCGCTCGACCATTAAACCAGCATAAAGTTCTACATTATCAACTGTTCCATACATTTCTTTCAATGCCTTTTGAACACTAGGCTTTTCTGAAAAGTCGGAAAACTCGTTCAAGGGCATCAAGTTTAAGAACTTTCTGAATTCGTTAAAGTAGCAGGTTCCCAAAGCGCGAGATTGGTTAATACCAGCGATTTCAATCATTTCGAAAGCAGAAGGTGTATTTTGACCATTTCTAAATAACCCAAGGAATTAGCAAATTGATTTGATAAAACAAGAAAGTTAGCTTACCCAACTTCTGAAGCAGATTGTTCAAATCCAGATCTAATGGCTTTTATGATATCAACATCAGGGAAGGATCCAGTATCAAGATTACGATGAGTGCCAGCAATCGGTAAACCTTTTTCCAGTTCTTCTTCTGAGGCATGTACAAAGTGATCATTGAAGCATTTGAAGATGATGTCAAACATACTTTCGTTGTCAGAGTGTGCTTTGGAAGTTAAGGTTGGCACAGGGCATTGCTTGTATGTGCCCTTTCTGCAGTCACTAATAACCTCCATGACCTCCTTGAGCCATGCAGCATCCTTTTCACCCACAGCAGCGTGCCATCTATAAATGATGTTGAATTCAATAGATACAGCATTACCATAGATTGGGTTGCTTGGAGTAGCAAAAGGATCCAATACGAAATCTGAATCAGCAGTTGTTCCAATAATAGTTCTGATGTAATCATGGATAATCACATTGGCATAGCATCCGTTGTTGATCAAGCGAGCAGTTTGGAACAGCGCCTCATCTTGTTCCTCCTCAGTAGCAATAGACTTTCCAGGTCCGTATGAGAAGCGTCCGTTTTCGTTTATCTCTAGTAATTTCTTTGCAATGTAATTGTGGTTACGAGAAAATACGACCATAAGAGCAGCGACACCTATAAAATAATAAGCTTTAGTCAACAAATGACAAATGTGGTTTGTTTTTTTTTCCTTACCAGAAGGCTGAACGACGAGACGCTTATCGTACCACTGATCAGGCTTCAAGAGACCACCCTTCATTTCACGAACAGATAATTGTTGTTCACGGTTATTACCATAGAGTGGGGAGCTATAAGAGTATGAGCTAAGAGGAAGAAAAAAAAGACAGATTTGTACTTACAGGTCCAGATAACTGGTTGTCAAGTTGCGTTGTGGGTTCTTGGGATCAGTAGAGAATAAGTCATGTGTAATGAGGATAGCCAAGTAAAACAGAAGCATGTTGACACCTCCTTTATGCGGGCTAAAGGTACCATCAGGTCTTCTCATGAGTCTGTCAAAGACCTCTTTAGCAGGTGGAAGCCTTTCATTATTAAAAGAGCTGCTTGTAACAGTCCTAACATAGTTGGAACCTGCTCGACCCTAGAACACGCAAAAGTAAGTACAACATGGAAGCAGGGTGTTAAGAACTTACCACTTCGGGGTAAATCAAGCTGTTTTGAGAACCATCTGCAGTACGAAACTGATGACCGACATAGTTGATATAAGGTTTGGGCAAATCATTCTGCATTACAAATAGAAAGTTAGCCTCTTGTTCTATTTAGTACACAGGAACTTACATAAAAGGTAGCGATTAGTGGTTGTGTCACTACAGTGTTCAATTCACTGTACTCAGGGCCAAGCTTTCCCAAAATTTCCATGACAGCTTCGAATGTATTGTTTCTATCATTCACAGGAAAGTTGCTGCTAAGGATTCTACACAGCATCCGTTAAAATCCATGTATGATCATTCTTCCTCTTTTTTTTTTTACCTTTCAGTAACAGCCTTTAGTAACGTTATTTGTTGGCCGATGGGTAAAGAGACAATGTCCCTCAATGCACCGACAGTAGTATCGTTTATGTTCAAGGCATGCTTAATGTTTTCTTTAATGGCTGCCCATGTCCATTTGGAACCAGTAGGGTTACTAGAAGGAGTGGGTTCAACTGCGCGCGCGCTTCCTGGTGCTTTAGAAGACTTGATATTGTCAACAAGAATTGTAAAGTGCTTGAATAATTCTTGTTGATCCATACGGTTTTCAACGGCATGAAGATACTCTTTCATATCCAGCTTAGGAGGTGGGAGCTGTCAAGGAAGGGGACATTGAGCTAAGAATGGCACATACAAGATAAAGAGGACTTACAGTGTTATTTGGCGATACGCTATTCAACATTTTTTTTTTCTTGATTATCAAAAGAAAAAGAAGCCAAATTGATCAAGGAACGCGCTTATTTAAATGATTGCGTTAGTAACACATTTCGTATACCTTTTTAAGATTGACTTCCTCTGAGCGAGTATGTACGATGTCCTCAGTATAAACAAAAAAGAGAGCGATATTCCTAAATTATCTATTTTTGCATAATCTCTGCCGCTCTTTCTCTTCTCCTTGTTGTTTTATGATTATTTTTGTTTGAGAATATCAAAAATTACGCCAAAGTATGTATATGTGTAACTATTTACTATTTCGTAAATGTGTTTTAGCAGATGTACATCGTGGCACATGCTGTAACTGTGGCTATTTCTTACTTGTTGAGCTACCTTTATTTAGAGAATTATTCTTCCCGAATATGCTATAAGAGATAATAACATGCTTAAAAGTAACAAATTGATGCTAGAATTCAAAATGACTACAACTAAGCATAATATGATAAACAGAGGCTTAGTTCACTTTCAGGTACACAAGAGCGAATCCGGGGTTCACGGAATAGTCTTCATTTTTGGTCAAAAAAGCTTATTTTGATGTTACATTCTGGCAATGGGGACTATATTTTGTTTATCGCATTTCATATAATCATATGCAAAATGAAAGATGTTAATATATTATTTCCTCACTTTGCATCATTAGATTGGTGTGTATGAATGATGTTTATAAGCAGGGTACCTCTAAATTATCCTGTTGCCTGAGTACTTGCATCGACATGCATAATTGTTTGGCCAACTTTAATTGGATAACGAAGAGAAAGTATTCTAGTATGAAGTGAACTGTGCACACACAAGGCCATGGCGCAGTATTTTTAAAATTGCCAGATTTTAGTACAAGTCACGAAAAGGTAGTAAAAATGAAAGTGCTTTTAAGTTGATGATACTCATCGAGCAGTTAAGCATGTGCTTATAGGAGGCATCACACTGATAACAAACTAGGTTGAGAATAGGTAACTCTTTTGTGGGACATCAGTCAAAATAATTTACCATATTTACAATCTTCTCCTATTGTTTATTCTTTACTCTGCATGCGTTCGTGTGAGCATATCCTCAGGTCCTTTTTGCCGCCTTCACGATGTGTGATACCAAGCTAGCGTAAACACACAAACTATCTTTAAGATGAGCATTCTAAATATACATCTTTATGATACACTTGAAAATGGCGTTGATAATAATAGTCACAATATAGTCGAAAGAACACATTTTACCCATTAAAGAGAGCTTTTCCGAATCTATTTCCCATCCGAGGACAGGACTCTGAAGCGTGAGATGACACACACAGAAAGTATACTCGAATACATATGTATACGAAAAGAGTTTATTTATCAGCTCCTTTGACATGAATAAATACAAATCCGCGACGAGTTGAATCAGAAGTTTGTTCTAGGAGCAGCTCTTCCTCTGGACTCCAGCGCTCTTCCATCGGAATATCTTCCAAGCCTGTTTTTTTCAAGTTCTTTTTGTATTGTAACCGCTTTTCTCTTAATCTATTAAAGTTATTAGCATTATCTCTTTCACTCCTTACACTTACTCTTCTCTTTGTTTGTTTTTTCTATATCCAGTCGACAAACAAAATACAGTATAAGGCTCCGCATGTTTATAAACGTTGGAAAACAAGGCATGAAATGTTGATTGTCTGTCTTGTTCTGTTTCTTGTGGTAGGTCGAGTCGGGCAAAAATAAACTTTTTTGAAGGATGTAATTCAATCAGTTTCTTGCACACATACTCATCATTCGCTTCTGGAAAGTAGCCCTTTAAGAGATGTTCTGATAACATTCGATTCATTGACACACTCAAGTTTGCATTAGCCTCAATCACGGCTGCTGCTTGCTCTTGGCTGTTCAAATTGTCTAGAATAGTCTTGACCTGGGATAAGCCCGTGAGGCCATAATTTATACCACGCTGAAGCTTACGCTCTACTAATTCTAAGCTGGCAATAGCATCCTCACATGGATCGTGGCCATCCACGCTTTCAACCTGAATTGATCGTTTCAGGTACTTTGCAACTAAATCTTTCAGTGATGCTTTATAAGGTGGTCCATTTTTATGGTGATATATGATTGAAGTATCGATAATATATGGATGCTTCATTCTTAAGCATCTTAAGTCATTGACTAATCCGTGACCGACAAGAATGGTGTCACCGTCAATCAATGTCAAAAGCTTTTTTTGAATGTCTGCCAATGTCGTCTTGACTCCGACAAGTGATTGTTCACTGACACCGCTAATGTGCGTAATGTAATCTGTAACTTCCTCTGTCGGCTTTACAAACTCATTAATAAGAATAGTGTGCTCTATAATACTTGTTATATATAGTCTATATGCTGAATCATTTATTATAACCTACCTCTATCAATTAGCGCTACTCTAGTAATAGCATACCCATTCACAGTTTTACACTACACATAGACATGTCAGCTATTGTTCATTGATGGACATGCCTTTATCTACCATTTCACAGTCGAGGGCAACCAGTCTTTTCACTTTTGCTCCCTTTCCAGGCGATGTTTCTATCCAACCGTCTTCTAACACGCTATTCGGATCTAACGATGGATGAATCGGAAAATCTTCTACTTTTAATTCTTCTAGTGTCATAACAAGCATTTCTGGAGGAATAGCTAGCGTTCCATCCGGTAGCTTCTCCTCTTCCTCTCGTCTCTTCTTTACGTCTGCCTTGGTTAAAGGCACTTCGAGTAGGTCCATAAACCGGTCACCCACTCTCTTGTATTGATCAAACCCCACTACAGTAACCAAGCCAATGATATCGTCCTCTACGTTGATATAATCCCGAATGCTGCTCGAAACAATCTTGTCGTAAACTTCTGGAGTGTCTGACTTGGATACCCAAGGTACCTCTAATGGTAGACCTAGCTCGTGAGGATCCAAAATGGGTGCATCTATAAAAATAACCTTTCCAACTGGCTGTACTCCTGAAAACTCTGGTAGTTCAGCGAAAGGTGTTGGCTTATTCATTTTAAAGAGAGCAAATAATAATCTACGGATATCCTTCATTGATGCATAATCTTTGACTTGCTTCAAAATGACTTTTGGATGAACAATCTAATATGGTATTATTAAACTGATTTCAATATTATCCCTTCCTTTTTGTACTCGAGAATTACCACTTGATCATCAATAACTTCATAGGCCATCTTGAGATGGATTGCCTTCATTATTGACTTTTTCAATTTTCTGTATATCTTTGTTTCCATAGTTTTCTGTTTCTTATGTTCAGCTGGTTAAAATAAATAAGTGTGGTTTAGCAAGGCTTTGTTTAGATTTACTGTTTTCAACCACTTCTGGACTCTCTTTGCGTTTCTGGTCTATGAAAGTTTCTATAATGGAGCAATCGTCACTCATTTGTTAATCAACAACAGATTCGTATCGTGTTTTTATTTTTATGATTTTCAAGGGGCGCATAAGAGTGACTGGATTTATGCTTTTACTAAAACTGTCTCTAATTCCAAGGTTTTGAAACTAAATTTAAAACATATAAGGAACCATTTTGATTTTGATGTAACTTTTAATAGCAATTCTCTTGTTATAAAACAACTAGGCGTTGATATACACTTTACACTTTATCCATAAATTATTCGCATACTGATAAGAAAAAAACGATAATTTCAGACAATTAATAGTAAAAGAGTGCCTACGAGAAGCAAAAGAACGAATAAAGAAATGATTAGTAAATCAGTTATTTACATTGATATTAAATACTTGTATTATAAAGAAGAGGATTTACAAGAGAAAAAAAGAGAAGCAAGAACAATAAATAAAATTATTAATATCCTTCCCGAAGTGTATCTTGGGTTGGATCAGCGATAACCATCCCGGAAAGAGCAAAGAGCAAAGAACAAAGAGAAAAGAAAAAAGAAGCAAGCCAGAGAAAAGAGAGAGATCAAGAAAGAGAGCGGATGGGGCCAAGGTTTGGTAAGAACCAAACTATCCTCAGCTAGCACCGGCACTTTTTTCGATTTTATGATCTATAATACTACATATTAGCTTCTTACAAGAGTAAAGAGTACAATATACATTAGGACTATCTGAGGAATAGCTAATCTTACTTTTGGTTCAAAGAAGAAGAGAAAAGAAAAAGAAGTCAAGATCAGACCATTTAGACAAAGTCTCTAACAACTTTTCATTTTGTTATAAAGCGTTGACCACATTTATCTTCTCTTCTCTCAAAAAGACAAAGTTCACTGCCTTTTTAATAATAAAGAAAAGACTGATAACCAATTAAAGTGTAATTGTTATTGATCTTGTAATGTGTGTGAATAATTTCTGATAATGGTGAATATAATCTTGTAGTAGTGCATAAATTCTACTCTATTTGTTTATCGCATCAGATGATAAATGATGTTAATATAATGGTAGTCATACATTCCCTCCTCCCCCCTATGAAACGCACATGCGTCTTATTTTAATATACATTGTTTTAATAAAACAGCTGAGAGGCTTTGTGATGTTATTGGATAGTAAAAAAAAAAAAAAAAAAAAAAAAAAAATATGTTCAGACTGTTTTAAAAGACGTTTATTATAGAAAAGAAAACAAAGCAACAAACTGTTAATAAGCTCATGACGGCTACTTTATCATAAAGCGCTCGCAATAGGGTGCTGGATTTCTACACAAATATGATATTTTGGTAAAAAGGAAAAAAAAAAAAGAAGGAATGATTTCGACACTATTAAGAAATACCGAAAGTAGCCTAAACAAAAACAGCCAAGATAGAATACTAAGTCTAGAATTGCTATACTCAATAAGGGGACGATATGGATCTTCATCAACATGATACGACAGTTCTATTTATACCCTTCTTTAGTGATTCATTTTTGCTTAACCAATCCTATCCCAAGGCCTATCAGCCCAACCCATACATGCTACAAAGGTGGCATACAAAAGCAGCCGGCCTTGATACCGTCATATCTAATCCTCATTTTATCTGCTCAGAAAAAGTACTAGAGCAATGCAACTGATTAACAGAACCAACCAAATAAAGAAAACACACAAGTTGGTTCTTTGTCACCAATATCTGACAGCCAAATAATAAACCAGCCACGTTAAATAACGTTGTGGGGATGTGATGATAGTAGTATTCTTTATCATCTTTTTTATTCCTTTTGTCTGTTTAGAAAAGGTTATCCTGCCTATGTCCTTTTTTTCTGTAACCAAAATATAAGACTGTAGCTCTCTTTTTCCCCCGTTAATTGTCATTATTACTATTATTATTTATAGGATGTGAAATTTCCCCAAGATCAGAAAACTGGTGTGACCAGTGCCTGAGTGCTGCGTTTAAATGGGACCCTATCATTGTTCTTGTCATAACTGTCCCGTGATATATTTAATACATCGTTAAACCAATAATGAGCTTCCTTATATAGTCCATCCATGAACCTTTTCTTTCTTCTTCTTTCATTTCATATTCAAATTTTTGGTTCACAATGAGTCATCCTACCGAAAGTTCCTCTTTGCTAGAAAGAAGAAGGCAGTCTAAACCACACTATTACACTTCCGACATGTCCGTACCTTTGCCTTCCCCTTCTCTCAATATCACAAAAGAGGACACTGACGGAAGAGGAGAACATACAAGATATCATAAATTTAGATTGTTCAATAAAAGATCAGGACTCTATGACGAAGATAGACAGAGTCTAGTAAAAGAAAGTACAGGTGTAAGAGTATGGAATGAGTCTTATTCTAGCATAGGTAAAGTTTATGTCTATTAAAATATAAGATTTTATTAACAGCAATAATATATAGATTGGATACATGACAGAATCAAAGAAGGTATACGAAAAAGGAAGCTGCGTCACATTCATGGAGCAAAAGGACGCTTGATGAAGACAGGTGATGCAGCACAGGCATGGATATTAGTCACCATCATTGGAACAGTAGTAGCTGTTATTGCTTGGTGTATAGATGTCGTTCAAGAATGGATGTCAGATCTCAAACAAGGTTATTGTTCAAGCAACTGGTTACTAAATCGTAATTTCTGTTGCTGGGAAACAAAAGGTACAGAACTGCAGAAAAAAATGGACAGAACTGAGATTAAATGAATTACCTCTTATAGAAGATGAATGTCATGCATGGAGATCATGGCCATCTGTATTACAAATAGAAGGTGAAACTGAAAGCTATTTGACGTCAATGTTTGTCTATACTGCATTTGGTGTAAGATACCATTCCATTTCGAGAAAATATATTCTGATCGCTACTCTATCATCTAGTTGCTCTTTTCATTTATAGCAGCCTCTATGGTCAAATATACCGGTGAGAAAGTTAGAGTTCGTAAGGAACCAGGTCATGTTACTTTCTCAAAGTCGTCATCGATGATATCCGTTCTATCTGACAATAAACAGCAAAATAGGGTAGAGTCACCACAGTATGAGACAAAGACTGCCTACTACTCTGCTGGCTCAGGCATCCCAGAGGTCAAGGTCATACTTGGGGGCTTTGTGATCAAAGGATTCTTGGGTATAAAAACTCTCATTGTGAAAAGTGTAGGCATGGTAAAGTGCACAAAAGGTACTAAACCAGTTTTGCCTCAGTATACTCAGCCATCTTTTTTCCTATTTTAGATCTTTTCTACATCAGCGGGACTTACGGTTGGAAAAGAAGGTCCTTTTGTGCATTTGGCCTGCTCAGCCGGAAATATCGCTTGCAGATTGTTTCCAAAGTTTAACAAGAATGAAAGTAAGAATCTTTTGAGTTTGAGAGACATACATATTCAGTACCTCTCCTCTTTTAGGTAAAAGAAGAGAAATCTTATCGGCTGCCGCTGCATCTGGCGTTGCTGTTGCCTTTGGTGCTCCTATTGGAGGAGTCTTGTTTAGTTTAGAAGAAGTGAGTTATTATTTTCCTATGAAAACAATGATTAGGAGCTACTGCTGTGCAATGGTGGCAGCCATCGTGTTGAAGGTAAATGCACTGCAGCTTTACTCTTTTGTTTACTAAAACTTGATTGTTTGTGACAGATCATGGATCCCTTTGGAACAGGGAAAATAGTTTTATTTCAAGTATCATACGACAAGGATTATCATCTATTTGAGCTAGTTCCTCTGGTCATATGCGCTTCACTTGCTGTAAGCTTAAAACAAATATAGACAAAATACTGAACTAAAACTATCTTAGGGGCTCTTTGGCACATTAGTCACACATTTCAACATTCGATACCAGCATTTGAGAAAGGCTACCTTTATCGGAAGGCATCCTATTACCGAGGTGCTCTGTATCATGGTCTTGACTTCACTCGTGTGCTACTGGAATCCATTTGCAAGGTACGTCTCAAACTAATACTCAATCACTTGACATATAACAATTTTTAGAATGAGTCTAACCGAGTTTGCTGCACATCTATTTTCTGAATGTTCGCCCACCAACGATAACGGTGGGCTTTGCGCGTAAGTAGCAAAGAGTATAAAAGATACATGTATATGAACCATACTTGATAGACGAACCATTGCAGAGATACCCCAACTACTTTATTTACTAGTGACAACACTTGTCATCAAGATGTGTTTAACAACGATTACGTTTGGCTGCTTGGTTCCTGGTGGCATCTTTTTACCAAGTCTGATTATCGGCGCAATCACTGGTAGAATGATGGGTCTAATTATGCAGTACGTCACAACAACACATCAGACGGCATGGCCATTTACAGCCTGTGCATATGATTTTGAAACACGTGGCGAATGTGTGATACCTGGTGTCTATGCTATTGTAGGGGCTGCAGCGGGCTTGGCAGGCGTTACAAGAACGACAAGTAAGAAAGTGTGATGGTTAAGGGACAACGGTTCTAACCAATATGTTATCACTTTATAGTATCACTGGTAGTCATTATGTTTGAGCTAACCTATTCCTTAACGTACGCTTTACCCATCATGATTGCTGTTATGGTAAGATATACATGAAGAACTTTGCGAGACGATATTAAGATGATGATGATATAGGTTGCCAAATGGGTTGCAGACGCCACATTTGTAGAAGGAATATATGATTTATTAATCGACTTGAAGCAGTATCCATACCTTGAAGCGAAGAAGGACTATGTTCACACAATGACTATTATGGACATCATGGAGTGTTTGCCTTCTATTGATGCTGATAAGCCGATGACAATAGAGCAACTGAAACAGAAATTACGTGTTATTGCTGCTCTTGGATATAGTGAAGATGGTGGATTCCCAGTGTTAAGCGAAGGCGATGTGTTGGAGGGATATATTGCTACCAGTGAGCTTTCACATGGCTTAGATTTACTAGAGACTGCATTGAAACGAAGGATGACGGAAGAAGAGATTGGGCAGGTGTCTTGTTATATTAGAAAGCAGCCATCCGAAAATTATATGATTGCAACACTAAATCAAGGCCTTAAGACGCCCATTAGAAACTTATTGACAGTGACCAAAGATCATGACAACATCAGTGAGGACATGCTTGTCACTAAACAAGCATTGAATGACTTTTCACTTTATGTTGATCATGTAATACAACAATCTACTTCCTATTTCTGTTATTTACACTCCTTTTTTTTTTATTATTATTATTAGGCCCCACTAACCATCAACCAAAATGCTTCCATGACACTGTTAATGGATATGTTTACTAAACTTGGTGCTAGATATGTATGTGTTACGTACTCAAATGGAAAGTACCTTGGTATTATACACAAGAGAAGATTATTGGCTTATCTGAAAGAGGTTAATGAGGACGAATAAGATATAGAAATAAATGCTTTTTTTATTTATTTATTGTTTTCTATTGCTATGCGATCAAGGCAACAGAATAATAAAAGGGGATGTGAGCATATGATTAATAATGTTGATGAATCCATGTCATCAAATAAATAAGCGATAGATAGCCTGTGTCTTCTTTTAAGGGAAGTATCAAAGAGAATTTATCTTTTATAGTTGTTATCATTCTCTCTCAACTTTTGAATCAAAAGATTTACCTTTGGCTTTTATCTTCTTTCTAAATTACTACAGACATTGCAAAGTTGGATTGATTTAAACTAATAAGCATGCTTACTGTTAAGGCTACCTATTCAAGGACTGACAACATTTGGATATAAAAAAAGAGAAAGAGAAAAGAAAAGGTTGAAGTGGGTTGCATGAAAAAGATGATCAGTGTGACTTTTATGAACAAACTCAGATTATCCCAAGACGATGGGCTGAACTCTCTTTTTATATTCTAATGAGCACTTTTGAATACCCTTCTCTCTTTGACTTTCCACCCTTTTTCACGTAGGTGTACACTGATAAACTATTAACGTGTTATTTAATGTCTCTTCCATTAGTCGTCAAATTGTAGATTCTACTTGGAAAAGTCAAGCATCTGATTGGGAAAAGCTTATATTGAGTTATGCAAAACATAAACGATTGTTTAGACTTGAGCTTCACAAAGCTACTACATCTTCAGAACATGAAATATTTGTAAATAAAAAGATAAATAGACGGCTGTCCTTTGAGACCTTGCAGGAAATTATTGAAGAAATGGTAAAAAAAGGTACGCAACATAAACTAAAAAAAAAAAGCTTGACTCATGTTTATATGAAGGAACGGCAGAATGGGAAGGTGGGCCAAAAGGACCAAGGGCTGAGGCATTGATATACTGGCATACACCTGAAGAATGGGCAAATTTGATATGGAATTGGGTAAAGAAAAAAGAAGTACAAAATTAAAAAGGGGACTAAATGATGTGTCAGATAAACGAAACAGGACAAAATGATCAAATTGTAACTTATTATGAAATTGCTCATGGTGAGCTAGCAGAGGGGCAAGGTAATTACAAAAGCTATTCATAGCAGGGACCTGTAATGATGTATAAATAGAGTTTTTCGAGATTGATAATACAATGCTTGATAAAGCATTAAATGTATTAGTAAAAAAAGGCAACGCGCAAATCTTTAAGGGTACAGATGAAGACAGTATGGGTGTCAAATTCTTTCAATAAATATTTCTCTTTACAGTGGACGAGTCTCTTTTTTAAGCCATGCAGTTGCTACAGGATCTGAAGCCAACAGAGGACTAAGTTGTTTGAAACACTCTGCATGATAATCGTTGATCCACTTCTTTTCAGCTGGAGATAGCATATCCTGATCAATCAAGTTCAGTCCAATAGGTACCATAGTGACATGCTCGAACTCTAAATAGTCAGCATCGATATGAGAAGCCTTTCGAACAAGCAAAACGTTTTCAATACGGATACCAAATTGACCATCTTCATAGTAACCAGGCTCGTTGGTTACTGTCATACCAGGCTCTAAAGAGACATCAAAGGCTGTCCTCATACCAATACCATGTGGCCCTTCGTGTACGTTCAAGAATGAACCCACACCATGTCCAGTACCATGTCGATAATCTAAGCCTAATTTCCAAAGGGGCATTCTTGCAAATGCATCTAAAAGATAGCCGGTTGTGTTTGTAGGGAATATAGCAGTATCTAGAGCAATGTGTCCTTGCAAAACGGCAGTAAAGCTGGTCTTTTCAAACGCAGTTGGCTGGCCAAAGTGATATGTTCGAGTTACATCTGTTGTTCCATCCTTATACTGAGCTCCTGAATCACATAAATAGATCTGCTTAGGATCAATGACTCTACAATTATTCCGTTCAGGCTCGTAATGGATAATGGCGCCATTAGGTCCAGAGCTAGAAATGGTAGGAAAAGAAAGCCCAACATAGTCTTGCTGAGAAGCGCGTAGTGCCTCTAGACAATCTGCAGCTTGAACCTCATCAATTGTCTCTCCTGCCAGTAACTGCTGCTCTAACCAGGCAAAGAATTGAACAAGCGCGACTCCATCACGAATATGACATGCTCGCATGCCTTCAAGCTCCGTCTTATTCTTGATGGCCTTCAGATCATTAATATAAGAGCGTTCTATCACAATATTGTCCTAACAAAAAGAAAGGTTGAACAAGATTTCTTTTTGTTAAGTCTGTTTTACTATTTACTAAACCAATAGCCGAAGCAATAGCCATACTTGTGTTTTGATCGACGTACATCTTTTGATCATCTACCAATTCCATGTTTTTTAAATCCTCAAAAATGGCATCGTAGGGTCTTATCTGAACATCACACAGATGCTGTCGAACCGACTCGGTGAGTTTTTCAGGCTGGATATAAAGTACAACCTTCGTCAGAGTGACAACGGCATAAGCGTAGAATACAGGGCTACAGTCAATATCTGAACCTCTTAAATTGAACAACCAAGCGACTTCGTCTAGTGCTGATACGATCACACCAAGCTGCTTCTTTTCAAACAGATACTTGCGTACCTTATCCAATTTCTCTTTATAATCCTGACCCGCAAACTCGAGTGGATGAATAAAGACCTTATCATGCGATCTTGATGGTCGGTTCGATCCCCAGGCAACATCCACTGGATTTGGGCTGACAGGTACGAGTTCTGATTGGACTGCTTTTAACTGCTCATTAAGCTCTTGAGCATCAGTAATGGTTATCAAGGTTGTATCTATACCAATACGACTACCTGGTGGAAGTTCCTACAGAGAAAGATTATTCGATACGTTTGTTTGTCTCCGATAAATAATGCCCATTTTACCTTTACGAGGTATTCCTGCCAAGTAAGTACACCAGGAAGGCCTCGTTTCATCAATGTCCAGTTTTCGTCAAGCTGATCCTCTGCTTGCAGGAAGTATCTACCATCAGTAAACAGAATAGCTTCTGTCATTGTGACAAGAGCAAGGCCTGCAGAACCACTAAACCCTGAAATCCATTGTCTTCGTAAGTCGCATTCCGAGGTAATTTCACTCTAATGACTAGATCAGCATAAAATATTTGACTTGTTCTTTCTATTTTACTTGATGAGCGTCTTCTGAAGGAATAAGACTACATATATACGTAGATAAATATATACGTGTATAATCAATATAATGAATTTATTGCTGTTATTATTGAAGTTATTTACAAGGCATCTATATTATATCTTTCAGATTCCAATAGCTCTCGTAAAGCCCTTAGTCGTTTTCCTGTTTGAAACGTCATTGAAAGAAGAAAGAAAAAGAAAAAGAAAAAAGAACATAAAATAAATATAAAGAATAAGTTGTTTATGTACACGTGAATATAGTGTTGTCCTCATGTTTCTGCTGACTCAATTTGCTTCTTCTCCAGCCAAGACTTGAAACGATTGCTTTTGATTTCTGCTTCATTACAACGCGTCGTATTCTTTTTAGCAACAAGAGAATCTTCAGTTCCTATCACATAGAATAGATGATAGGTGTTTCTGCATATCTTGTATTGCATATTCGATCTCATCCTATGAGAATGGGATGGATGACGAATATTTCTATTAAAAAAAGAAGTTATTTTTGCCTTACAGCTTCATATGTTGAATTTTACCTTTTCAAGTAGGAAGGATTCAATAATTTTCTATTTACATTGGGCGTGTCGTGCTCCCAGTCAATGTAGTTACTGACATATTCATTGTACCTGTCTTCATCGTCCAATTCAAATATGTCATCATTTTTATCCAATAACTGAATAGACATGGTTCGATCCACAGTATTAAAGGATAAATTATAAACCTCATCTTCATTTCCTAGTATTTCTGTCACTTGCATTCGATAGGCTTTCGTTAATTCTGCTGTATGTTTTTCATATTCATGATGTTCTTTAAAACAAGACAATAACGTTTGTGCTTTAGGATCTGACACAATGTGGTGAAGCTGTAAAAAGTTAAGTAAAAAAATAAAAAGCAGTACGCGTAACAAATTACCTGACGAACAATAGATTGCATCAGTTTATCAATGCTAAAGAGGATATAAGCCCTTGTACCAAATATATATCTTGAGCATTCTTCAAATGTTTGTTGATCTAATTCATCGTCAAAGAACTTATCAATGAGTTTTAGTAGCGTCTTGTAATATCCTTGCTTCACATCCAAATTCACTATAAAACATGTTAGCGTTTATTCTTTTTTTTTCTTTTCTTTTCTTACAGCTCTGAAATATCTTGTTGTCTGCACCTAATCCAATAGCAGCCTTGCTCAAATGCTTTGATTTATTTAACTGGTACTCTTGATCTAATCGCTTCATCTTACCCAAACGGTCATAGGCCATTTGAAATAAGCGGAAGAAGCAATAGAAAGTAGTGTTACCAAAAAATGTATATACATTATGCCTTGCAGTAGGCTCGTCTTCCTTTTCAGGAGCACTCTTTGTAACAGCATCTGAAATTGTCTGGCTTATATCCATTCCACTTGGTTCAGGTGTGCTAGCTGTCTCAGGGGAATTTTCTTTATGTCTTGTATAGGGCCTTCTCATCTCATCTTCTTCGTCCTCAGTCATATCGTCTTCAATGTCCTCATCCTCTATCAGCTCTTCCTTTACTTCTTCGCGTCTTTTTTCATCCTTGTCAGATGTCACATCAGGAGCATCAAAGAAGACAGGCAAAAACATTTCAACAAACGCCTTCATGACTTCGCAGTCAGCAGAACCATAGATCGACTGTCTTTCAAAATAGCTAAAGAGCACTCGAGTGACGTCCTTGAAGAGTAGCTTATCCTTAAATTCGAATAAAAACTGTGGCCTAACGCTGTACTCTTGCTCTTGATCTAAGCGGATCACCTCTATTTCAGTTACAAGTGATTTCACTGACATGGCTTTACGGTCATTTGTCTTAAAGTTGACACCTTGATAGTCTAGTGCCTTGTAATAGTTCTTGACTTCTATCTCGCGCCATACTTTATTCCACTCACGCTAAATATGGCAGTGTGGCTTTAGTTGCTAAATGAATAGATTTTATAGACTTCATACCTGTGCCTTTCTCCACTCCTCATCCTTTTGTTTTAGTCGTTTCAAAACGACAGGTACTGCCTGGGCAGGATGTCTGTGAAGCATCTCAATAACCTCTGTGCCCTGTTCCTTTCCGTAAATCTTTTTGATAATACGCTGATAAATAGTCTTGGATGGTCCGCCCAAGCCAACTGGCAGCTTGAAGTTCTTTTTTTCTTCTTCAGGCATGGCACTGATTCGCTTAGCCAATGGCTCCAGTAAGGATATCGTATTTAGATTTGCTTCAATATTGATATCATAATCATATCTTTATAACATTAGGATAAATGATTACCATAAATAATATAACGCTTTTACCTCTCTTCCTCTACGCGATGAAGCGCTTCCTCAAAGATATTCTTTTTTGATGCAATAAAACCTCCATCCTCACTGGCCCAAGTGGGATGAGATACATACTGATCATTTAATACCTCTTTACAAAGAGCATCCCTTCCTGAGCAGCGTTGTTGAGCTTGCCACTAAATAAAGGTAAGTAAAGAAAAAAGATATCCATATTTTATCTTACAGATTCTGGCACCATACGATAACTTGGGCCACAGTCTGGAGAACTTAGGAGTTCTGGTTTATGAGATACAGCCGGTATATTTTCAATCACTTTATCTTGTCCACAATAACCTACGAGTACCTTCAACTGATTGAAAAGCTCTTTGTTTCCTCCCAAGAAACTTTCACAACGTTCGACCAATCCATTTTGATCAAGTATTTGCTGACAAAATAAATTGAGTACTTTTAAAAACGAGTAGTAGGTCGTCTTATTTCCAATGTGTTTTCTGACTTTTTCAAAGAACTCGGCCTCTTCAGCTGAAAGAACTGGTTCATAGTAATAAGAAGTAGTGGATCTAACATCTGATGTATGCTGGTCGCGTGAATGATGATGGCTAATCTTGCTCTTCTTTTGTTTTGGTGAGTGAACGAGCGCTCTTCTCTTTGACTGCTTTTTTGAAGACGAACTTCCTCCTGCGGTTGATGCTGTTGTATCCGGTAAGAATTGTTTAAATTCGTTCAGTAAGTCAGTAGCACCATTGAATAGAATCTGAACTTGGCTATAAACTTCTGTAATTGGTTTCTGTTCCTTTTGATAGGTTTGAAGAATTTCCAAGAATCGTTTGTAGACATCTGGATCGTTTGCAAATCTGTTTTTGATTTTATTGACATAGTTGATGGCATGGTTGAACTCGATAGGTGGTCTACGCGCTGCTTCATCAATTGTCTGCTGTTGATGAGAATAAGAATAAGTAGGCTCTCTTTGATAATAATATGGTGAATCGTTGCTTGTACTGGTCGTTGTTCCAGCTGGCGTCGTCACCTTGATCACATCTCTTGCATGATCATCAACTGAGCACTCGATACGATATCCTGGAGGTAAAAATGTGTTGAATCCAGATATCAAAGTCGGGTGTCCTCGGAATAGGGTAGATACTCGCTCGATAACACCCGGTGTATCAATACTACATTTGTTTAGTTAAATAGGTATTGAAAAAAGGGGGGAAACTTACGCTTGGCTTTTAAACTCCTTCATGATATCTAAAAATCGATTATAGACTTCAGGTTGATCAGAAAATCTGACCTTGACTTGATCAAGATAGCTTAGAGCATCCTTGACATTCAGTGGTCTGTAGCCCTGATTACTGGCATTTTGGCGATTGCTATTATTATCAGCATTGTTATTATTATTATTTGTGACGTTGTTGAAGCCATTCGCGTTTGTTGTTAGAGGAGGTAATACATTAGGTGTTGGTATATGAAACGAATCAGCAGGTGTACGTGAGAAAGGAGGAAGAGGAGAAGAAATGCTGTCTTGTAATGGTGGAATGGAAGGGTTGTATGAACTCATGTAAGGCTTGTTTGGACTACTACTATTGCTACTAGAGGTTTTGCCAGAAGAGGTTAAATGTCTATTGTTGAAAAAGAAAAAATGAGTTAATATAGTTCTACATTACTTTATTTGTTGTCAATTCACCTTGATGGAGAAGGAGGTCCTGTGGACATGCTCAAGATTCTTTACTTGAGTAGAAGGGAAAAAAAAAATATGTGAAAAAAGGGCTTTCCTTTCTTTTTGACTTGATTGTGTGTACCAAAAAACTCAGTTGATTTTTACTTTGCTGAAATTCAAACTGTTGTGGCGTCTTTTGCCAATCAGCTTGTGACTAACGCGTATTTGCACCAAAGAGAGCAATAGATGACACTTTCAGCATTTATAGCTATTTTATCGCTGGAACATCATTAAAAGCTACCCATACTAATACATTCCACAGAGTAGCTTATTTTCTAGTCGCAGAATCCATCCTCAACGCAGGTCGTTAAAAGTTGCTAGGATACGATCGATCCTGCACATTGATTAGAGCAGAAGCAGCAGGGATATATTAAATTAGCGTAAAGTGGGAAGAAGCGCCTTTCGAGGCACTGACAGCGCTTTAAGAAACTATTCAAAGAATTTTCGCTAACGTCACAAGCTGAAGAGACCATTTTATTTGTGTATCAAAGTGCTCTAATGATCCCTTTTATAGGTTAGAAGTAATATAAAATTGCTGAAATTGCTTATTAGCAATGAAAAGCTTTTGATAAAGTTGTAGAATTTCTATATTTTCAAAGATAACTAAATAGTTCCTTGCATGTTAACATAATTAGCAAAAGGAATATGTGCAGCCGAACGTCTAGTGGACTTATAATGGTTAAAAGCGAGCCTTTGGTTTGTCAATAGCCACGAAGGTAATGAATACGATATTATTGCTATGACTTAGCAAACTTAGTAAATCCCAAAGCAAAAATCGTTTCTTGCGACAGTAACCTAATGGTAGCCACACTCTCCTATTGCTCAAGATAGCGTAATTCACAGTGGCTACTCTATTATAAATACTTCATTTAAAGAACTAGCTACTGCGATGTATAACTAATAAAATATTTTTTAAATCGAGATATACTCAAGAGAATCATGCTACTTCTTGGCATTTGTTATGTATTCTGACAATTTTGAACGTAATCAACAGGCACTGAAGTCGGTGTAGAAGGATATAAGGAACTTCTTTATCAGTGGAAATGATAGTTGGCATAGCAACAGCAAATTTCTGTATTTTTCTTAATTTGAACATTCAAAAAAAAAAAAAAAAAAGCTTTAAAGCATGTGTGCTTTATCGAATACTACTTGTGAATTATAGTTACGCAAAAGAATCTCACGACTAATTATTCATATTTTTAAATTACACAAAATAGCAGCAGCATTGCATTGTTTTAAGGATATTTTGTACTCTTTATTTTTCTTTTCTCTTCTCTGTTATTTTTATATTGTTACCAACATTAAATAAAATGCTAGTTTAACTTGAAAAAAAAAGTATTATATATCTCAATTTATTTCACTTGTATCCTCTTCTGTGTTACTGAGTTTGTAATTACATCAGGAACAGCTGGTTGGTATAAAGCATAAAACTATCTGTATCATGTGCCTTGTCTGCCATAATATAATACTTACAATAATTACACTTTAGTTGACTATCAATCCTTTATTTATTACTTAAAAAACAACACTTAATAACATAAAAATGCACTTGATATTTTAGAGACTTGTTTAATGTGGTCAACTCTTTATAAAATATAAATAATCTTTGACTTTCGTTCCCTTTGTTTTTTTTTTTTTTTTTTCTCTTCTTTGAACCAAACGTAAGATTAGCTATTCCTCAGATAGTCCTAATGTATATTGTACTCTTTACTCTTGTAAGAAGCTAATATGTAGTATTATAGATCATAAAATCGAAAAAAGTGCCGGTGCTAGCTGAGGATAGTTTGGTTCTTACCAAACCTTGGCCCCATCCGCTCTCTTTCTTGATCTCTCTCTTTTCTCTGGCTTGCTTCTTTTTTCTTTTCTCTTTGCTCTTTGCTCTTTGCTCTTTCCGGGATGGCTATCGCTGATCCAACCCAAGATACACTTCGGGAAGGATATTAATAATTTTATTTATTGTTCTTGCTTCTCTTTTTTTCTCTTGTAAATCCTCTTCTTTATAATACAAGTATTTAATATCAATGTAAATAACTGATTTACTAATCATTTCTTTATTCGTTCTTTTGCTTCTCGTAGGCACTCTTTTACTATTAATTGTCTGAAATTATCGTTTTTTTCTTATCAGTATGCGAACGGTTTCTGAGTAAAGTGTACAAGTAATCTTTAACTCTCAATATTAATTTCCTTATACTATATTATTGATTTAATATTCAGTTGCTTTCTCCATGCTTCAAATACAAACATTCACAGCATTATTAAAATAGGCAATAATTGTTTGACTATTTGCTTTTTATGAAATTTGTAAGTATTATAAATAAGAAACCTTGCTTGGCTTTTTATTTAAAGCAAAAAAATATTAAATAAAAACTGAAGCTATACTATAGTAAAAGTGCTTAATTCCCATAACTATATTTTCTATTTATTTATTATTTATTTATTTTTTTGCTCATCCTACATCTTAGCCTGCGCGTTTGCTTGTGAAAGTGTCTATGTAATTTTTATTCTTAAATTAAGCAAGACAGATATAGTTGGTAACACGCCAAAAGTACATAATTAAAAGATGTCGTATAGATCTAACATGCCACGTTCATATACGACCCTTTCTGTTGTAGCCATAAATTTTTCCGCAGTATAAAACATCCAGCTGCTAAAGCAAGAACCAATTCGCTTTTGTTTGTATCTTGCATTCATATCCACTGTGAATCTATATTAAACAATAACATCAGACGCTGCTCACCAGCTTTGGCCTTTTTTTTTTTGTTTTCCAGAAAGAAAAGAATGATGCCTACGAAGTGTTAATACTCGAAATATATAAAAATAATATGGATGAGAAGCTCAAGTGATCTTCAGTAATAGCATCGAATCAGCATAAGGCTAGCTTTCTGACGATGACGACTCTTCCAATGTCTTTGATGTTTGCTTTGCATCATTGATCACTTTTTTTTTTTTTCACCCATCTCTTTCGACCAACATCTTACCTATAAAATCGCACAATAAAGATCCATCTACTGCTAATAGCTAAAATAGAAGTGCATACGAAGACTAACAACCTACGTATATATATATATAAGAATCCTAGGCTGAACCGCAGTAACCCAAAAAAAAGGTTAGTGTTACGCAGCCGCAGCAGTATTGTCTTAGAAATCCGCCGTGCGTAAGATTCGTTTTTTGGTTATCAGAGAGGACTATCTTGTTCCTCGCATGTTTTTTTTTTTTTTTTTCAAAATATATATATATGTGTATGTATGTTGTTAAGTCGCTCTATACTAGGTTATAATGCACTATATGGAGAAGGCATGGCATAATTTTTAATGAGACGGGGTCTTCAAACGCTCTTTGCTTTAACATATGCGCAACTGCTGGATTAAAATCCGGTAAGTGCCGAGGATACAGGTATACGTCTTTTCACAAAAACCAGTTTCCGGAATTTGCTGGAGTCAAGATGCTTTTAAGTGTAACAGTATCTTTTTTGGGTATTCTAAGGACTTAAAAAAGGAGAGAATGAACACAAAATAAAGGCACTTTACTCTATTTGGATTTTTTATGAAATAACCCCCCGATGGCATCAGATAAAGGTATATCAAGTAATGACCGTGATCGCCCCAAATTAAGCATCTTTAAAAAAAACACACACAGACATGTTTGTTACCTGCAGAAAGCAGACTTTTTTTCTTTGTAATACTGCGAGATGTACGATAGACAAATATGCCTATGGTCCTGTGTTAAGCTATTAAGAACACATTCAAAAATATTCTCTGTAGGTCTCCTTTTTCTGTTCTTTTCTATAGTAGCCGTAATGAACTCAATTTCTTTTCTTCGAGAAAAATCTAGATATAATATATAGATTGGACATAAGACTCTTTGAAAGTAACTGTAAAAGAAGAATAAATATATGAATTATTTAGACAGGCTCATAAGCATGTTTGGATTAATTGGAGATTCAACCATGTTTACAGTGTATTAACGACATTTTTATTTATTGTCAATATATGAAAAATCTAGTCTTGACTTAGAAAACGCCCCATGAAAGCCTAAAGATGTGAATTAGAACAATAATGCGTTTTTCTCTTTAATAATAAACTTACTCTGGTGTAATCTTGAAATACACCAATAAGAATTTGAAAACATCGCCTTCAAGCTATTGGATGACATGTTAATTTCATTATGTTAATAGCATTGTTTATACTCACAGGTAACAAAGGTGGAATGATGTGTGGTTCGCGTAATTGTAAATAAGTGTGAAATATATAGAAAACAATCTTTACATAAATGTGAGCCTAAATTTTACATTATTTTTACATTGTCATCCATACCTCTCCATCAGAAGGCATGCCCTTCACTTTTGGTATACCACAGAAGGCAGCCATTCTTTGACTACTTGCAAGTTCCTTAATTCTTTCTAATACATACATTCTTGCTTCTACATCGCTTCGGCCATTAACACTAATAAATTGGTGAATTTCGTTCAAGTTGAATGAAAAATTGGGCTAAAAGCAAAGGGATCAATACGACACATCATTAACAGTGTATATAGTCTTACATTATTGCTGAGTTCTGGTAAAATTAAGGTCAATGCAATTAATTTGGGATCACATGTAACGATATCTTGTCCAGAATTAGCTAATATGGTTTCAAAGTTTTTAATCGTTGTTAAGAGTGGTTTGAAGATTTTCATCAAAAGTGCCTATTAGAAATACTGATCAGCATTTATCATGTTGGCATAAATCCAAATATACCTCAGTCAATTTATGATAATAAACACGTGACCTTTCATCATTAAATTTGTTCCAATAGCTGTGATATCCTTCCACCTAGAAGCAAAGTCTAGTTAATGTATGTTAGCCATATGTTTTTTAGTGTATTTACTTGTTCCATTCTGAATTCATCAACTAATTTAGGTGTCCTGGCTAAATGCCACAATGATCGGTCTCTCTTTACAGCAGGCTGGACAGGTGGTGGTAGACAAGGGACAAACTTGAGTTTGGAAATTTCAGATGCTAGCAAACCTTTATTTTTTTCTTTTTCTTCGCGTCGTCGTTGTTCTTCTTCTTCCATCATCTGTTTGATTGTTGCAACCATATGTTCAAATGCACCCATATATTTAGTTCCCTTTGACTTGATAGGGGTAGGGTCATTTTGCTTGACTTCATACTTTGGAATGATTTCTTGAGCTATACGGAAAGCATCTACAACTTTTGTAGGTTGTTCTATCTTTGGCTGAGGTAGATTACTGGTAGACTTCTTTGAAGGTTTGAATAGCCTATCATAAAAATCTGTAATAGTTTTTGTCACAGGACCAGGAACTAAAGTTTGTTTTAATAACAAGCAATGAGAGGCTATGGCTTATGTTTACCTAATAAATAGTTTTTGAAAGAAGAAGTGTATGGAGCTACGACAGGAGATGAAATATGCTTTGTACTGCGCCAAATGTTGTAACAACATCGAATGACAATTAATGTTTCTATTATAAATTGTTGTTATTATGATTATTATTATATAATGTTCTTCTTGTTACCCAACACATGAACAATTTGTGAATGTAAAAGCTTTTTCAAAAGAAATATGTTGAAAGCTGATATAATTTGGTGAGTCGCCAAGATGCCAATGAGCACTTTAAGATTGGTCTGAAATATGTATGAATTATATGAACTATAAGACATTAAAAAATTTTTTTTTGTTGGAATGGCAAACGCAGGAAAGAAAAGAAAAAAAAAAGGACGCGTCTGATGAACTAATAATAAAAACTCCGTTAATAGTTTATTCAATACTCTTGTTGGTCTTCTTCTCCAGAAGAGTCTTCTGGTTCTTTAAATATAGAAGAAGCTATTAATGAACCTTCTATCCATGATGCAATATGTATATCATTATCATAAATCTCTGATGATTCTTCACTACGAGCAGCTGAGAAGAGATATTTGCTACTTGCTCCTTCTTCTTCTTCGTCAATCATTGAACGATCTGATGTTACCTCATTGTCCAAATTGGGCCCAATGCTAATATTTAGATCTGATAATCTACGTATGTCTGTAGCTGGTAATAAGCGATGAGATAGTGTGCTTTTTTCAAACTATGATTTATAAAAGAATGAGGCTCAATATAACAAAGCAGCAATGCAACTTACTGAAATCATCTCCTTTTCTAGTTTATCCTTCATACTATCAAAATCATACAAACACTCATGTATAAAGTCTGCCAAGTCTATATGCACATAAGTTCACTTTTTCTTACACACAGATACCAACTTACTGAGCATATCTGAATCACCTTGCTTTATAAAGTCACACTCCTCTTCATTAGCTATACCTCTCCATCCATCGCCCAAATCGATTGCATCGCCCTCTTCTTCTTCCAATTCTTCATCCTCATTTGATTTCCTTTGAGGTTTTCGTTGATCTGGCTGTATTAATGAATCAATAGCACCTTCAATACCAATAATACGATCAATTGCTTCCTCTACATCATCATCAAGTGTGTCAATAAATCCATTGACAGGCCCAGTCGATATGTGAACATCATAGTAAACATAAATCTGATCCTCAAAGTCAACATAAACCAGACACGGCACATTTTCATCATCTATCGCATAAAGACCTGCTGTGAATGCGCACACTCTTCCTTCAAATGCAAACTTGACAAGTTGATACTTGATCTTTGCATCTTCCCTTCTTCTACTCCAATCTATGAGATAGGTCACTCCATTCCATGCGCATGCCACAAACAAATCACAGCCTGGTGTCTCTTCGTTTTCACTTGCTTCGTCCCAGCTCTCATCATCATATTCACTACTCGATCCTTCATCTAGCTCAGATGTGTATCTAAGTTGTGACGTATGACTAATCGGTGTTTGGGTTCCACTTTTGGAGGTAGCTGCATCGCTTTGTTTAATAGAGGATTCGTAATCACTATTGTTTGATCTTATTGAAGGCTTTGAAATATCCAATGTAGCCAAACTAAACAGTTTATGAGTCACAAACAGGTCTCGATGAGAGATTGTCTTGTTCTTTAAGTCATAGATTGAAAACTTCCCTTTACGATAGTGATTAAAAGAGTTTTTTTTTTTTTTTGATGAATTGCTTACCATCCATGCTCAACATGCCGATTTCATTTGTTGTAAATGAATTTCCTTGCAAGTGTCTTTTTCCAACCACAATTTCAGTTGCAACAGCACCAGATTCAAAAGGATGATCTCCCGTTTGTCCTTTCCCCGCCATCGTATTATTATCAACTACTGGCCAATTCTTAATGATATAATTCGTCCTAGTGAATGTGTTTCCCAAGTTATCAGTAATATCACTTGCTTCATCCTGTATCACTCCATTTTCTTCAGTACCATCTTGCTGATAATGATACTGCTGACGCTGCTCTGACTGTTCATATTGGAGTGTAAAATCATGATTATATCTATTTCCATCCTTATCGATAATGATAAACGTATTTCCTGGTTGAGCAACGAGCAACAGAGGTTCATCTGGCTTTTCTGGATGCGTTGTAGTGCATAAAGAACTTATTTGACCATCAAATACCCACATGTTGACCTCCGATAAACTGTATCTTGTACCTCTTTTCGATGATTTAGTGTTTAATTGATGTATATTTGAAGTAGATGAAGATGGTGAAACAAGGTTACTGAAAGTAGGAAACTGAGTACTCCCTTTAGGATCAGCTGGTACTGTTGTTGCTGTGATATCGCAGGAAGCCAGACGGAATACGTGTAAGATACGATCTGTACGAGCCAAGATAAGTTCATTCTTCTTGTCATTGTCTACACACAAAGCTTTTTTTAAAATAATACTCTTCATGACACTTGTATATACAAACCAATATCTGCTATAAGGACCTTATTCACATTGACTGGTACTTTTAGAGTAATATTTGGTTTCTCAAGGTCATATATTCGTGATGCAGGCTTGATTTGATCAGAATGATTGCCGCCTGCCGTAAAATAGCTGCTGTTGCTCAACATTCGTTTGAATGCAACCACACTGGCTGTATCAGAAGAACGCCGTCCGCCTCTGAGATAATCATCCACAGATACTTGCTCTGCATGTTTTGCTTTAACGGGTATATCAAATATATGTGCATGACCTTCAGCATTGATGACCACAACTGAATTCTATAATAACTGTCAATTCCCACTTCTCCTCTCTTTTTCTCTTTCTCTTTTTTACAGCAAATTACTTTTCCGTGATTTCGAACGTCTCCGATTGCGATACAAGTGATCTATAAAAGCAATTAACATGGGCTATTCTTTTTCTTCTCTCTCAACATACTGTTCCAAGGCCACGACAGATATATGAGGGATATCCATCCTGACATTTTCCTTTGAAAATGGCTAAATCACCACTCAGATTTCCAATCACAAACTCGTTTTTCTATAGATCACATAAACTCAATAATTGACTATATATTTTGATGAAATGTTTACATCGTCATTATCGACATCTCCAATGACAAGTGCATGAGGATTCATATTTCCAGAAAACGACCATTTAAGTCGCTTAACAAGGGATGTAGTTTTCATTTTATTAATAACGAAAAAAAGAGGTTTATTTACCAACGCAAGAAATGAGTAGGACACTGTCATTGAGTTAGAAAAAATTTAAAGTCTATTATATATGCAAAAATACCTCGTAACCATGCGGATTCTTTTGAAGATATTCCTATATAGATACAGGTATTATTATTACTATTATTATTACTATTTATATTCTACTTGATGATATTCTTCAGCGTCATAAAACTTTCCAGCGGGTACAATTTCTGTAACGATCTGCTTGCCCTTGTAATGCTTCTCTTGTACTTGCGCTGTCACTTTTTCAGCAACAGATTTTTGTTCTGGTGTATGATAGAATATGGCAGATCGATATTGAGTACCAACATCAGGGCCTTGTACATTCTTCGTTGTTGGATCTGATATCATCAATTACTTTTTCTTTTAATGTAATATATTATTATTACCATGCATTTTATAAAAGAATTCGACCAGAGCATCAAAAGATACTTTTGTAGGATCAAACTCAATCTCTAGTGCTTCAGCATGGTTGGTCAATCCTGAGCAGACCTAACAAACCAGCCTCAATGATTGCATAAACCACAGCATCATTTACCTTTCTGTAGTCAGGATCATCCACATGTCCACCAGTGTATCCAACCTTGGTACGAATACCGAATTGATTAAAATGCTTTTTATAAATGTGTTCTACACCCCTTTATTATGCATACGTGTCAATTTTAAATTATCTCAATCATTTTTAACAATTACCAAAAGCAACCAGCAGCAAAAGTAGCCTTCTCTAATGACATTTTTGTTGTGCTTTGAAAATGACAAGTTAAAAGAGATGCACGAGATAAAAAACGATTCATGAAAAAAAAAAAACACTCAGATGATCACTGGATCAATGATGCTCAAAAATCCTGTTGCTGTAATTCAAATGAGGCATTCCAAATTTAGAAACCCTGTATACACACACGCACACACACATGGAGAGAGCTGGATCTTGACTGATATCTTTTTTTTTTTTCTCTTTCAGAGTGAAAAATGGACACGAGTCTATTCTCCCCTAGTTTGATAAAAGGCTTGACTGACAAGACTTATGATAGAAGAAAAGCTGCTGCATTAGATATCGAAAGGCAAGTGTTCATCACTAACTCATTACTGTCTGCAAAGCTAAAAAAAAAAGTTTATGTCAACAGACTTGTACGTGAACACGAAAAGTCTGAAGAAACGATCACTCAGATAGTGGATGCCCTTGTTCAAGAGTTTGTTTATTCCAATAATCCCTATGCTCGCTATGGTGGTCTAATAGGCTTAGCTGCCACTTCAATAGCTTTAGGACAAGTAAATATATAGAAGATATATATATAAAAATAGCTTATACATCACTCTCCTACAGGGCGTTTCAAAATATTTGGATATCATCGTTCCACCTATATTGACATGTTTCAGTAATCAAGATCAAAAAGTAAGATATTATGCCTGTGAGAGCATGTACAATATTGCAAAGGTTGCAAAGGGTGAAGTGTTGAGGTACTTTAACAGCATATTTGACGCTTTGTGCAAGGTAAGCAACTGTTGTTCCTATTTGTTTAAAAGTGCTAAAATACAAAAAGTTATCAGCAGATTCAGAAATAAGCGTCAAGAATGGAGCAGAACTCTTGGATCGCTTGATAAAGGATATCGTATCAGAATTAGCCACAACCTATGAATCACCTTATAGCGAGCCTTACAACCCTCCAGAATCTGGCCAGGAACTATTTACACCATCCTCTTTACCTCGAAACACAGCATTTTCTTTACCCCGGTTTATACCATTATTAAGTCAACGTATCTATGTGCGAAATTCTGCCTCAAGACAGTTCCTAGTGTCCTGGATGTCAGTATTAGATTCAATTCCAGACTTGGAGCTTGTGTCATTTTTACCCGAGTTCTTGGATGGTCTAATACGCTGTTTGAACGATGCTAGCGAAGATGTACGAGTAGCCACAGGCGGATTGCTGCAGGACTTTTTAGGAGAGATCAAGGAAGCCGCTTCAGCCCGTCAACTCAGACAGCACAATGAATTTCAAAAGTATCTCAAAGATCAAAAACGAAAAGCCAAGCAAACAAACACTTCATCTGCACCGTCAGCGGTGGCAACCAAATCAGTCAATTCGGCAGAGACAGCAGAAGACACTGCAGAGAGCACATATGTAGGAGAACACGAAGAGGAAACAACCATTTGTGGTTCAACCGTAGAGGTAGAAGAAGAAGAAATTGATTCGGAAAATGATGGACATGGCAAAGGGACGTATGTGCCTGGTCAAGGAGTAATTGTACAATATGCCAAGATTGTCAAGATCTTGGTCAGCCATTTGTCTTCAACAGAGGAAGAGATTCAAAAAACGGCGCTTTTGTGGATAAATGCCTTTATAGATATTGCCAAAGACGTCATCATTCAGTTTACTCCCGAGATCATCAAGGAGGTTTTACCATGCTTGGCTCATTCAGTTACCGCTATACGTTTAATTGCATTAGAAACAAATCAAAAATTGCAAAAGCTTGTCTTGGAAACTTCGATTGTACCAGCTCTTCCCGAACCCACATCAAGTGTCAGTGACCCATCAGGAAGTCCACAACAGTTGCGACTAACCCAAAAAATGACAAGCAGCAACGACGTAAGCGATCCATTCGATTACCAGACAACTGTAGCCAACTTACGGCTACAGTTCTTGAACCCCCATGAGGAAACAAGAGTTGCCAGCTTAGATTGGTTACTGATGCTTCATAAAAAAGCACCCAACAAGGTAAGCTTGAAGCTGGTATAAGACTTGTAAGCTCTAATCATACACCAAAGACGTTAATGTCTGATGATGGTACATTTCCGGCTTTGCTTAAAACGTTATCAGATTCTTCAGAAGAAGTGGTTCGCAGAGATTTACAGCTACTAGCACAAATATCATTCTATTCAGATCAAGACTATTTCCGCAGCTTCATGGTCAGTTTATTGTCTCTGTTCAGTACTGACAGAAGGCTTTTAGAAACAAGAGGGAGTCTCATTATACGACAGCTATGTATGAGCTTGGATCCTGAACGTATTTATTGTACGATGGCGGATATCCTGGAAGCGGATGATGACCTTGAATTTGCCAGCATTATGATACAAAACTTGAATATTATACTGATTACGGCTACTGAACTATCTGATCTTCGTAAGAAGCTTCGGAATCTGGATAACAAAGAAAACCAGAGGCTATTCAATACCCTCTATCGATCATGGTGCCACAATGCCATATCTGCATTCTCGCTCTGTTTGCTAGCTCAAGCATATGAACATGCATCCAACATGCTTCAAACTTTGTAAGTGTATATATAAATGGCCAACAATCAAGCTGCTTATTCACTATCATTAGTGCTGAACTCGAAATTACTGTCAACTTGCTTATCCAAGTAGACAAATTGGTTCAACTTTTAGAATCACCTGTTTTTACATGTAAGCTAAACAAGATATATATGTTGCCTATATTCATGCTTGTGCTATAGATCTTCGTCTTCAATTACTAGAACCTGAAAAATACCCCTATTTATTCAAATGCCTGTATGGTATCCTAATGCTGCTACCTCAATCTTCTGCATTTTCTACCTTACGAAACAGGCTCAGCAGCGTTTCATCGTTAGGTTTTCTTCACGTCTTGCCAAAAAGGTAAAGAAAAATACCAAAGGTGTATACAGAAAATAGACTTTTTTTTTCTAGTCCTGTAGCAGCATCTGCCGTTAACAATACTGCCACATCCACTACCTCTACAGAAAAACGACAAGCATCAAAGGCCAAAGTGGACGAAACAAATGGTATCAAGTACCAAGAACTTTTGCAGCACTTTAAATCAGTTCAAGCTAGGCATGAAAAGCAAAGAAGACAATGTAACATCCAATAGCTTTATACAGTCTATTGATACTGAGCCCATATATATAGCATTACAGACTGCTGCACGCGTCAACACTTTTGTAAGATCTAGAAAACCTAAAATGATGTATGGTGATGTCAGTGGGTCCTCTGGTAATAACCAGCAAGTTTTTGGCTTTGGAAGAGATGATAGTTCGATTAGCAGTAACAACAAGGGCTTGGGTATATTGTCAAATAACACATCAGCCAATACAGCGTCTAGCGCTACTCCAGTTGGAACAGGAGGTATTCGAAATGGAATGGCTAGTTTGGGTTTGACCAACACAGGTCCTGGAGGCGATTCATCAAACAATAACACAAGTGGAGCAAATAGTCATGCTAGGTCCTCGACAAATGCAACAGGAAGCACAGCAGGTAGAATGATGGCAAGAAGGACACGAAGGTGATAAAATGTTTGTTTTTCATTAAATTACAAAATCGCTTTCAAAAGCTATTTTCTCTCTATCAAAAGTTATCCCTACGGAAGCGAGCTTAACACTGACTCAATGAATTATTCATAAAGTCAAAGAATGTAAGCATATTCAAGAGCATTTCATATGTGCTTCATTCGCTATCAATTGAACGAAAAGAGTTTTGAGAGATAAATCTTGTGTTTATTCTAGATTACAAAAATAACTTTGCTTTCCTTCCTTCAATAAAGAGAAAAAAAAGGGGGGTATAAAACGTTTGAAAGGATCCTAAAACTGTCCTCCCTCAGATGGTCCGTGATATGAGTGTCGTTGTCTATTTACAGTAAATTTGGTATTGTATTGACCACTATTGCCACTTCTATCGTTTCCTAATGCTAGTATCTTGAGCTTGCGTTCAAGCTCACTTTTGATTTCACGAACAGAGGTTAATTACAACTAAAGCAAAGAATTAAAATAGCTTACATTGCTTTCAGTTGCCATTGATTACGCTCCTTCATAGTGGCCTCAAGTACCCTTCGCAGCTGAGTTTCTGCACTTGGATTATGTGGTCTATTGCTGTCCGGGTCGTCATCATAATGCATGTGCTCATATAATCTAGCCAGATTATCTAGCTCAAGGTTAAATTTCTATCAAGAATGAGTCGGTATGGTAGATCAAGCAAAATAATATATACGTTACATCACAGACAGTGCCTAACTCTGACACAGAATCTTCTAGATCTGCCTTGAGCATACTTATTTCCTGATCCTTCTTCTGAAGTAGCGAATTGAGCATGATGATGGTCCTATTCTTTTCTTCCAATTCAAGATGTAACTCGGTATCTAACGCCGGTTTCTTAAAGTCTGAGAAAAACCTCACATGCATCTGCTGACTATCGTCTGGAGCAGCGATAGGGATCAACAGATCTGATGTTGGCCGCGCCTTGAGCATAGGAGTTGGCGGTGTATCGAACTTTACACAAAAATAAGCCTACAACATTGTATTTTTTATTTTTTTACTTACCATTTGCTGGTATAACGAGCGCTGACTGTTCATAGTGGATAGTGTGCTTTGTCGACTATTAATTGAAGACTCACCACTTTCAGTCATAACAGGCGTAGGCTCCCTGCTACTACTACCAATACTACTTGATGGTCGATGTAGATCACTTGAACTAAAAACCGTTTCTAATATACCCCTTTCCTTCCTTGCTGCAGACTTTTTATAAAGGTTTAACAAATACACAATAATCAAACCCTTTTTTTTTTCGTTACCAGGATTTCGCAAGAAGCAGTACGGGTAGGATGAACACTTGGCTAGATATGACACGTAAGAAGAAGGGGGATATAGTGCTTTGTTTGAACTTACACTAAGCTGTCTTTGTTGACCAAGCATAACATCTGAGTGCCTTTCTCCAAGTTTACCCAGTTTCGAAACTGGAAACAGTTCCAATAAATCCGGAATATGTTGCTTTTCACTCTTGTGCCGTGAGGAAGAAGAATTAATGGATTGCAATGTTGATTTGGAGTCTATGCTTCGGTGAGATCGAATGGAGCTGTTACAGGAAGACGAGCCTGTAGAATAGCGCTTTGAGCAAAAAGAAGCCTCTAAATCGATAAGATAGTCATTATGCGTATAGGATGCTTTTTGTTTGGAATAAAATGAACTAGTGGCCGTTGTAGGTGAATTAGGTCCTTGAAAAGCGATAGATGATGAGTTATTGCTGCTGCTACTGCTGCTACTGCTACTACTGATACTATTGCTACTGTTGCTGCTGTGTCCTGCAAGCGAAGAAAATAACTTGAATGTCGGTCGACTTTTTTTGCGCTTCAGGTCTTGTTTAGTAACGAACTTTAGGCCTTCATGAGATGAGCTGTGTTCATATCTTAAATGTTTTGCATTTTCTATTCGATTCGCTGTCTGTAAATCCCGATCACAGGCGAGAACTATGAAAAAAATTTAAAGCAACTATTATTACAGGTAAGTTTTCGCTTACGATTGCCAAACAGTAAGTTTCGGGCGTCATGAATAAAGAAACCATCGCTTGCTCGGAATGTCAAAAGTACCTGACTATTCTTTGTATTACCAATGGCACACTTGCTACGTATAGCAAATCTGTTTCTATTGGTAAGTAAAGCAAACTTGGGGGATATGTTTTTTACCTGTAGTTATTGTCCTTTTCATGAGGCACAATAAAACCTACCATGTTTGGCGAGCCATCATTATTACTAAGAATACTTTCAACATCAATCGTATTTGATTCTGTATAGAATAAGGCTATTTCACTCTATTGGGCGGAGAAATGAGAAAACAAGGCCCCATGAGGCACTTTGTACTATGGAAGCATTTTATTTTACATTACCTTATTTGGCACTTCATCATACTGAGCCATGAAGTAGATGTTTGTAAAAAAATGATGGCGATTCCACTGACAATACGTTGTATCTATACGTCCTTCTAATATCGATTTAGTATTCAATTATTGGATATTGTTGTTTTCTAACCATGAGCTGTTCTGCATTCATTCCTTGCCTTTCCAAATTGGTAAGCAAAATAGGATAAGGCCTTTTCGACAGTATGAAGGTATTGTTTATTAATAAAATTGCCGCTTGGAGATAAACTGAAGATGTGAGCATGATCTTGTTGAAAGTAAGCCTCTAATGATTTCTGCGTTTTTTCATCTGTGTTATCGGAAGAAGGTGGCGAGGCACCCGTATTGTTACACAATAAAGTAAATGATGCATCTGTCACTGGAGTTAGTATTGAAATATTTAAAATCAAAAACGTACCCAGAGGTCCTTCATGAAGACTTATGTCAGCTAGGCTTATCCAGCCTAGAAATTTGAGTTTTCCGGAAGAGAACGTGTCTCTGCTGATACAAAAGTCTAGTTTTTCTGAGCCTTCATACAAACGTTGATCGAGTCCACAAAGGTCCAAACCATCGGTATCATACGACGGACGTCGTACGACCATAATTTTATCAGAGAATAAAAATAACGTTACAGGGTATAGGTGTTTCATTGTTTGTATGTCGAGCTGAGCTACGTCCAGATAACACAAGAATCGACGGTGAGAGTTAATCAGGGATTCCTATAGAAAGTGAAAGCGTTACAAAAATGAACACAAATTCACTTATGAATCTAGCTTAGTTACAGGACAAGCATGGATGGTTAACAGCAATCTACTAAATATCTTCAATGCCTGTGTATGTGCTTCTTCCGTCATGTTTGCAATCTCTTCAGCTTTCAAAAGTGCTTGATGTAACCCAGGTAAGTCCGCATGGTCATCTGCAGTGTGTTTCAGCAGCTCTTTGGAAGTGCAGGTCAGCTCCTGATTTGTTGAAGGGTTTATAAACTACCTTTAAAATACATTGTATATCTCCCAATACGTTGAATAGGTAAGGCTAAATAGTCATACACTGTCTGGTTACTCTTCATTTGCTCATTGGCAGCCTTTAAAATGATGAGCATTTATGAACGTGATGCATCCAAAACTTTACCTCTAAATACTCGACATAATGTGGGTTCTTTAGCTGCTTTTCATTAAGTATTCTGGCATTATGGATACCAGATAAGAATTTGTTATAGCAACTAAACTGACGCAACTATAAAGGATATAAGCATATGTACATCGTATGCAACATATTCTTACATGAGCTGAGCATAAATTACCCAGATTAGTATCATGATCAGAAATTAGATCACGATAGAATTCTTCTGTTACTTGAATGATCTCATCAATGTTCATAAAAATATTTGAACATTCGTATTGTCCGATGATCGGGTTATGTCTATCTTTGGCAAATTGCCTTAAAGGTTCCACTATTAACTACTATTTGTCAGGTGCGATATCATGTTAGAACACGATTTACTTACGAGTACAAACGTTTTTAAACTTGTCAAATAATTGGCCTCTGTTTTTATAAATTCTTCTATCAAATATCGTCTTCGTTTATCATTCTATATGAAAACGTTGCTATGGCAACTATATATGTGTATATAAATAGCCTATAGTTACCTTGACATATTGCCTTTTGGGTGGCATTAGTGTTTCATTTTTTAAAGGGATTGAAATAGGTGAATGTATAACCTTTTTAAACTGCTCATATAATGCTAATATATATTACATATATGTTAAACGGATTGTTCAATTGAGTACTAAATACCCGTACCTGGGTATTGAAATTCATTTGGATCACTAATTAAAATATCGAAATAATGACACTATTTTTAATATTCATATTGACTGTTACTGATAGCAATAGGATGGAATAACAAACATACCAATACTTCAGCTGGCAACGTCGATTCCTTTATCTGTAAGCTATTATGATCAAGTAGTTTTCTTGGATATATGTAACCAATACTATCGAGACTGTTTCCGAGTTGCTGCATAAGAAATAAAAACAAAAGAAAAAGGAAAAAAGAGGGGGAGAAAAAGAGCTTGAAAAAAACGTGTGCTGTTTTATCCTTGTGTAAAGTGTCACCAAGTTATTTTTATCGGGGAATAGAATTCCTGCTGCAGAATATTGAGGCTCAAGCTAATTGTAAGTCGAGGATATGTATGTGTATGCCTTCTATCATACTCTCTAGAGCTTAACCTGATTTAGCAGCTTTGGCCTGTAATCAGAAGTAGGATGAAAAGAGAAAAAACTTTTGACTAACTACAAGAGTAACTGGTGCTCGTAACAATGTCTACTTGAAGAACCGTCAAAGGTTCTGCAGTTATTTAGATTCGAAGATACAAACGTGTTTAAATGAAGAGCTCTTGTAAAAGATTACACAGCTGTGCAAAAAAGAAAAATAGATGTTATACAATCTTTATTTTTTTCATGTGTTTACAGCCTTTTCTTTTGCGACTTTCAGCAACTTTTCCTTTTGTCTATTTGAGGCACTCTAACCTATACAATAATTTTGCAATACTCCAATCAGCAAAGTTTAAACTTACATATTGGGCTTTTATTCCATTATGTATTGCATCTTGAATAATAAAAAAGAAATATAGATATATATCGATGAGTCTCTATATAACTTCTTTATTAAGACAAGAGAAAGAAAAAAAGCTCATTATTACAAACATTATTATGAAAGCATGAGCTAATCATATCCAAAAGGAATTGGATACGTCGCATTATCTAATAACAGCGTGTCCTGTGGCTAGTCTTTCAGAGTATAGTTTTATAGCAATATCATATGGTAAGATTAAGTATGTACAGGATAAATATAACACAATCCTTCTTAATTCTTACAAAGTGCAATATATATAGAAGAGTATATCCTGTAGAAATTGGCAGCATCAAATTATGCAATCTTTATTTTTTATGTACGCAAAATGAGCTCTATTGGTGTGTAGTGTAGACTTTTTATATGTGCACAATTTTTCCAACTCTTTCCACAATGACAAAATGGCCCAAAAAACGAACAACAGCGTTAATGTGAAGAAATAGACCACACAGACAATATCAGAAAAATCCTGAAGGAATCATCATTATTACGAATCAAATACTAAAAGATACAAAAATCCGCTCCATGACGAGCGAACAACGGAGGAAACCATCAGTAAAAGATCCAGAAAGCAATTTCAATGATATCTTTGGTACCCAGCCAACATTAGCTTTTGATCACTTTGACTAGCGACTGCACTTATCTTCAATAATAGCCTCTACAAGCTACAACTTATATCATCAGGTCCCTTAGTCAAAGAACAAATTGAAACGTGGAATGTATCCATATTACAGTCATATTCAAGCAAAGTATCCAAGCCCGAAGACTGTACACAGACAGTTAAGCGGAGTTTGATAACAATGCCTTTGAAAGATACTACAAGTACCATAATTGTCAATTCAGTATTTATTCGGAAAACATCACCGTGGTGAGATCGAAGTAGGGCCAACCATGGCTGTTTTGGGAACGATAAACAATCTCAAATCCATTCTAATAATCATACCAACGCCTTTGACCTCTTCAGGAATCTTTCTCCAATAAGAAAAACAATTAATGAGAATTTGGGCCAAAGCTTTCAGAAGTGTGTAAATTAGCAATAGTCTCATGAAAGCTATTTTAAGGTAATAGAAGCAGCCTGTTCAAAAGGAAGGAAGATATTTGTACATTTCCTAATTTGTCTTTATTGTCCACCATAAAAGGCACTTTAACTAACAAAACCCCAAGCAGTTACTGATAAACACAACTGTTATGAGTATCTTTATTTATAAGTTAAAGAAATGAGCTTTTGTGTGTCTTTATAAATCAAGGATGTACAATTTAAAGGCTAAATGCAACAAACTAAAAATTAGTGCATTTTGATATAATAAAGAATGTGTGCCTTATTCTTTGAAATCAAAAGCGCGCCTATTATTGACGTAAATACTTATTTTAGGCTAAATTGACGTTGAATTTTCTACTTTCTTTTTTATTTAAGAAAAAAAAAGGATGATTCCTGCTAGATATGGAAGAATAGTATTATTGGTATTATTGCCTATATGTCTATTACTTCTTACATATTATGGAATAATCAACAAAGAATCATACCCAGCTTATCAGTACGATTATAATCATCCCAAGGATGGGTCCATTCAGAGAGAGAACGCTGCCTTTGTTATATTAGCTAGAAATGAAGATCTCGAATCTCTTCGAGAGACAATGCAGATGCTTGAGGATAGATTCAACAGCAAATATCATTATCCTTATATATTCTTAAACGACCAACCTTTTACCGATAAGTTTAAAGAATACACAACCGGTTTAGCATCAGGCAAGACTCGCTATGGACAACTCAGTCCAGAAATGTGGCAGTATCCTGAGTGGATTGATCAAGAAAAGGCAAGGCTTGGAAGAGAAAAGATGGAAACTGAAGGCGTTATCTATGGAGGATCAGAGTCATATAGGCACATGTGCAGGTTAGAATAAGAGAATGTAAAAAGAAAGAAAGAACGGCTAAGGATATGCATAGATTTCAAAGTGGATTCTTCTTTAGACATCCTTTATTGAAGGAGTATGACTATTACTGGTAAAGTAGCTATGAATGATAGAAACAAGAGGTATTTATTATGTTATAGGAGAGTAGAGCCTCATGTTAAGTTTATGTGTGATATTGATTATGATCCATTCCGAGTGATGAGAGAAAAGGAATTGAAATATGGATTTGCGATTTCTCTTACAGAATACGCTAGCACAGTGCCTACACTTTGGGATACAGTCAAAGGATTTATGAATCAATATCCACAGCATATTATTCCAGCCAATAGCTCTGATAGTCTAATGAAATGGGTGACAAACGATGATGGAGAAACATACAACATGTGTCATTTCTGGAGTAATTTTGAGATAGCATCTTTAGCTTGGCTTAGATCACAAGCTTATTTAGACTATTTCAATTATCTTGACAAGGCAGGAGGATTCTTTTATGAAAGATGGGGAGATGCTCCCGTTCACTCGATTGCTGCTGCTTTAATGCTGAAAAAGTCTGAAGTTCACTTTTTTTACGATATGGGATATTGGCATAATCCATTCAAACACTGTCCAAGTGAGCCTGGTTGGTTAGCTGCTGAAAAATGCCATTGTGACCCCACAGGCAGTATTGGTAAGTTTATATTGAATACTTCAGAATGGTTACTCATGAATTAGTAAAGATAAAGATGGATGGAGCTGCACATCACAGTTCTTACAAATCGTTGGTAAAAAGAGTACTGATTTTGTTATTACGAAAAGATATTAGCAATGATATAAAACTATGCCGAATGAAACACCCTTTCTTTTGCCTTTTTCTTTCTTTGGTTTATCATAATGATTCATATATGCACACGTGAGACATAGAAGGCACCAGTGGAAGAGCAATTGACCTAAAATAGGAAGAAAAAGAAAGATAAACAAAATATAACAGAGAAAATGTCAAAGAATAAACCTTTTCCCTTTTCCCCTTTTTTTTTTATTTTTTTATATTTACTTATACAACTCATGGATATACTATGCTTATACAACACTAATGTACATAAATCTAAATACCAAGACATCTATTCTCTGTTTTCATATCTGAAAAAGCCTATTCTAAAAGATCACTCAAAATCACCCAAATGTATCATAACCATGTCTACAATAACACCTGCACAAACAACAACACAATTACTTGTGTTCAATACCCAAACTTCATTCAACAATACCCTTCCTCAGAAATTGATAGATCTATCTATGTTATTACAAGCCAAATCAAAAATACCTGTATCCTCATCAGGTGGAATAGGACAAATAAAATACATAGATAAAAGAACTTTGATTGCTGCCCATCAGCCTAAACGACCCGTTTGGACAGAATCCCATGCTTATATCAGAGGGTCGCGTACGAATACAGATCAGCTTAGAATCCTTTCTACAGAATTAAACATGATACGTGCTTCTAAAATTACAAGGTCATTAAAGCCTAGGCGCTCTTTTTTATCAAAAAGACAAGATGTTTTTGTTTGGGGAAAACCAAGTCCATTGAGACGAAGTGAATAAACAAATAAACGCCATTCATCGTTATCAGCGTCTCGTGTCACGTGTTTATTTTACAAATTATTCCCCAAATTGCATAATTTTTTATCATGTTGCGTTCACTCGTTCGCATTTCATTTACTCGATCGTTCATTAGTAATCATTCAAGACTAAATCTTATTAAAGCCATGACAACAAAAACTGATGCTGAATGGAGAGCTGTTCTTACACCTGAGCAGTTTAGAGTACTTCGTCAAAAAGGTATTTTAAAAGGGGGGTTAAATACATTCTACTTATTCTTTATCAATAGGAACGGAACCACCCGGAACAGGAAAGTACAATAAATTCCATGAGAAAGGTAGCATTACCATTATTATTCTATCAGCCCCCCCCCCTCTGACCTTATCTCTTTCGGTGTAGGAGTTTATCATTGTGCTGGATGTGACGCACCACTTTATGTCTCTGATACAAAATTTGATAGTGGATGTGGTTGGCCAGCATGTAAAGTATACATATACATGTCTACTTTTGAAACTAGAGCTAACCTTTTTCTTTTGTATACTTAGTCTTTGATGCTATACCTGGTATATAAATCAACAGTTATCATTTTATTATATCACTAATACATGTCACCTTTAGGTGCTATTATAAGACATGAGGATAATTCACACGGTATGCAGCGTATAGAAATATGCTGCTCCAAGTGTGGTGGTCACCTCGGTCATGTATTTAAAGGTGAAGGTTTTCCTACGCCCACAGATGAAAGGCACTGCGTCAACAGTGTCAGCTTACGTTTTAAAGAATAAAGAACTATATTTGTGTGGCTTTCATTAATCCTCCAATCGAATCACACTGTGTATTTTAAAGGAAAGAAAAAAATTTTTTATCTTTTTCATTTATTTTAACACGAGTCTTAGTCACCGCTGGTAAGATTATCAGGCAAAGCTTCATAATGTACACTCTCTCATCATTATATTATCTATAGAGAATTCAACAAGAATGTCCTACGTCGTAAGTTACAAACACAATTTGATTAATTTTCAATAATAACCATCAATCATGTAGGCTAAGAACACTACCGAAAAGCCTGGCCTTGAAGAACAAGAACAACCCAAGTAAGGATAATGATAGAATTAGATGATAAAAGCTTTCTGAACAGACATATACATAATAGGATCCATCGCATCCGTATTACCCTGTCTTCTCGCAATGTTAAGAATTTGGAAAAGGGTAACTCTTCCCTTATTTCATAAAGACTAAAGACATACTAATATATAATTTGCAGTTGCCTCTGATCTTGTTCAACGTGCCAAAGATAAGCAGCTCAAGGTAAAGGGCCCCGTTCGCCTTCCCACCAAGGTTCTTCGCATCACCACTCGCAAGTCTCCTTGTGGTAACGGTTCCGAAACCTTTGACAAGTTTGAGATGAAGATTCACAAGCGCTTGATTGACTTGCATTCTCCTTCTGAAATTGTCAAGCAAATCACTTCCATCTCCATTGAACCCGGAGTTGAAGTTGAAGTTACCATTGCTTAATTCTTTTTGCTGCACTCTGTGGCCATTTATTTTTTCTTTAAGAAATAAAAACGCCCCTTGGTCAGGCTTTTGAAAAATACTCACAGTTTTGAATTTTATTTGAGTTTTGATTTCATAAAAGAGCATTACTCTGCCTAGTTTATAAAACCAATGCTTGAACTATACCGATAATCTCATTGCCTTCCAATGATGATATTGGCTAAAATTCAATCGACACTCTTGTTGAAGACAAAGCACGTGATAGTTACGTAAATTATTTAAAATTATTTGAATCTTATATTTTGTACATCAAAAATACCAACAAGGTCGCTTAGCTCAGTTGGTTAGAGCGTGGTGCTAATAACGCCAAGGTCGCGAGTTCGACCCTCGTAGTGACCAATCAAGGTGTTCCGCTTAAACCGCGGAAGCAGTTAACATTTTTAGCCCCCGCTTTAGGTGTGCGCGTAGGGATTTCCTTATTGTAATCAAGAAAGTGACATTGTAACAATAGCGGAGTTGAAACAGATGAACTTCGTGACCCTCACGAACTTCATGAGACAGACAAACTTCACGACTTGTATGAAGTTCAAACAAATGAATTTTAAATTATTTTAGTATAAATACATTCAATACTGATACCCTTTTTGGTATCTTATACTCTGCATGTCCAATGCAAGTTTTAATGATTTATGATTTAT